TAATTCTGGATATACTGGAGATGGATTCAACTGCACTGGTAAGACAATGTGAATAATATTTCGGCCAAGTGTTGAGTTTAAAAATAGGAAATAGAAAAGTGAAAATTGTACAACTGTCATTTTAGATGTTGACGAATGCCTAACGTCTTCCCCATGTCATTTCAATGCTACGTGCAATAACACAGATGGATCTTATATCTGCACATGTGATGCTGGATATACTGGAGATGGATTTAACTGCACGGGTAAGATATCCGAAATAATTTTTTCAACAAAACCGATATTTAAACAAAATATTAGATTGAAAAAAAATGCTACAACTGTCATTGTAGATGTTGACGAATGCCTAACATCATCTCCATGCCATTCCAATGCTACGTGCAATAACACGGATGGATCTTACATTTGCACGTGTAATTCTGGATTAACTGGAGATGGATTCAACTGCACGGGTAAGCCATCAGAAATCATTTTTTTAGCAAATCTTTATAAAAAAATAAGAGATTGCAAAATAAAAGTGCTACAACCGTCACTTTAGACGCAGACGAATGCCTAACATATCCCCCATGCCATTCCAATGCTACGTGCAATAACACAGATGGATCTTATATTTGCATGTGTAATTCTGGATTTACTGGAGATGGATTCAACTGCACGGGTAAGCCATCAGAAATCATTTTTTTAACAAATCTTTATAAAAGAATAAGAGATTGCAAAATAAAAGTGCTTCAACACGTGTTGTGCGCAAATATGGCTGCCACGAATTTTAGAGCTCTTAGTTTGTATGTATGTTTGGTTGTATTCCTTGGTTTTATAAACGATTTTAACTTCTTAAAAGTTAAACTAAACGAAGAGGAAACTCAAGGTAGAGATTTGAAGATCCCTCTGCTGTTGAAAACTCATATTTTGTCAGCGTATAAGTCTAATCAGAGATTGCGACGACCTATCGTGTCATGGGACCGGCATGGTTTGACCGTATTAGCCGTTCCAGGGCACTCAATTTTGATGGATATAACTGTATTTATGGACGTACAAACTCATCCAGGGCCTATTGAGGTGTTAAAGAAAAATTGTAGCGGGAATGTTAATTCAGTGAGTAATAACGAAGCACGAAATAGCAACATTTGTATAGATCGAAGGAAGCTCCTGTCCTTTCGTAATTGCACTGTGAAGCCGTCAGTACCTATACTAACATATCTTACATCAGAGGGAATCTTAAAATATAGAGGCCGACGTGGTGGAGGAATAAGACAAGATAGACAAATAATCAACAAAATAGCTGTAGTGAATGGGCGTCGACCTTTAGTTGAGAGTAATCGACAACGAACTAATCGTATATAGCAGTTTAATTCGCATATCTTGTGTTAACAACACTACAGCCCCCGCAACTAATGAGTTTGCTGTCCCTAAGTGTATGTTTACCAATATCTGTGCCTTAGCAAAAGTTAAAAACAGAGTACGGGCTCCAGTTGCGCTGGAGGCGGACTTTTGAAGTCACGATATCGATGTTGCTGTAGTTTCTGAAACCCATCTCGCAACGGATATGCCTGATTCGATTGTGAATATTCAAATTTATAGTTCATTCAGGCGAGATAGAGGCTGGTCTGATCTAGACAGAAAAAAAAATGGTGGTGTGGCTGTATACGTGAGGGAGAATCTGAAAGTTTTTAATATTTATCGTTCTAGATTATATGAGTTAATATGCTTGACTTTGTTATTGCCCTCTGGTCATCACTTGTTGATATGTGGTCTTTACAATCCGCCCAAGCACACATATAAGGATGCAGATTTGATAAATTATTTGATTGATTTTGTTGATGGTGTATTAGAGAAAAATCCTGATAGGGTGGTTCTATGTGGTGGTGATCTCAATCAATTGGACGTGCATGAACTTGAAACAATGTCAGGATGGAACGTTCTAGTTGATTTTCCAACAAGAGCTGCTTCATACCTCGATAACTGTTTAACTAATCGGCCCGATCTTTTTGGAAAGGCATATCCTATTCATATGTTAATGAAAACCGATCACACCATTTGTTCTACCAGCTGGAACTAAACTAAAGCCCATTAGGCGTAAGCTTCAACTTCGTGATTGCAGAAAACATCGAAAGCAAGCTTTTTATCAAGCATTAGCATCAGAGGTCTGGAACGAAGTATTTGCAGCAGAGGATGTTAACGTCGCAGTTAATCTCATGGAGGACAAAATCAAAAAGCTTATGGACAAGTGTATGCCTATAGAATATGTTAGAATGTCAACTAGGGACCCTATTTGGATGGCTCCATTGGTTAAATCGCTGTTTAGAGCAAAATCAAGAATTTCTCTCAATAATGAAGAACGTCTGAAATTGATTAATGGCAGAATTTCAGAAGTAATTAGTGAAAATCGGAGGAATCCTCGGGCTATGATCGGATGTCGGAGATGGTGGGAAAATGTTGATAGTATATCACAGCGTCGAAGTTCCTCTCAAATTTCCCTTGACCCTGATTTGCTGGATAGACCTAATGACCACTTTGGTCAAACATGTTATGATGATAACTATATATCACCTAGAGATATGATGATAACACAGGGAGTGGAAATTCCCAAAATCTCAGAAAGGTATGTTTGGGATATACTATCCAAACTTAAGAGAACAGCTACTGGACCAGATATGCTACCATTCTGGGTTTGGAAGGACCATTCAGAAATTCTAAAGCCAGTAATTACGCATATTTGGAATCTTTCATTGTCTACTCACTCTTGGCCAAGTTCTTGGAAGAGAGCTAACATCAAGCCGTTACCTAAAGTGATACTACCTGTAGAGAACTCACACTTTCGTGGTATTAACATTACTCCAGTTATTGCAAAGGCTTTTGAGAAGGCTGTGTATCATACACATGTTGAGAGTATCCTAGAAAAACGCTTGAGTACCACTCAGTTTCCTTATAGAACAGGGGGGAACTGTACAAATGCCCTTATATCCATCCAATATCAAGTTTGCAAATATTTAGATGAAAATGATTGTAAAGCGGTGCGTTTATTTGCAATGGATTTCAGTAAGGCTTTTGACTGTGTCAAGGACAACCTTTTATCTGACAAATTGAAACAGTTACCAGTGAACCCTTATATTGTGAATTGGTACCATAGTTTCTTGTCTGGCAAGCAGCAGCGTGTTTACTTTAATAACTACTGCTGTATCTGGAAAGAAGTTAATAAGGGAACAATTCAGGGGAACGTAAGCGGGCCATATCTGTTCAATATTTTTTTGAATGATCTTGAATCGGAACTTTATGGCATTCAATCTCTTTTTAAAAATGCGGATGATTCAAATATTGTTGCTCCTGTATGGAAGAATTATGATAGTTCAGCTGATTTAGTCAATGAATTTTAAACATGGTCTGAAAACAACCAGATGTTATGCAATCCAAGCAAATGCAAGGAACTGGTCATTAGAAAGAAAAATAACGATGAAAATTACGCAAAGATTAGAGATATTCCTCAATGTGAGAATTTACTATTATTGGGAGTTACGTTACAGAGTGACTGTAAGTTTAACGAGCATGTGAAGCGTAAGCTAATGAAAGCGAACAAATGTCTATATGTTTTAAGAACGTTACGAAAAGAACAATATAATCAGACAGAAATAGATAATTTGTTTAGATCTTTAGTACTGCCTAGTATTACTTACGGGCTCTCCATTTACGGCGCCTCGGAATCAGATCTTAAGGTTGTTCAGAGTTTTTTAGATAAATGCTACAAACGTAGTTATATATCTCATACTCGATCAGAGTGCTTGACTTATTACAAAAACAGGATATGAAAATTTTCAACACAATTACTACCTCTGATGATCATCCTCTCACAGTAATTATACCTAAGAAAAAAGAAGTACCTTTTAATCTACGTAAGAAACGATGCCTTTATCCCAAAATTAACACGCAGCGTTTTAAGACCACATTTGTAAATAGACTAATTTTTAAATATAATTTAGTGTAAGATTGGTATATAGGATAGGATTCCTTTCTTTAAAATGTAACATAAGATATGTATTTTTATCTTGTGATTGAAAGACTTATTTTTATTATTTTTACAACCGTCATTTTAGACGCAGATGAATGCCTAACATCTCCCTCATGTCATTCCAATGCTACGTGCAATAACACAGATGGATCTTATATTTGCACATGTGATGCTGGATATACTGGAGATGGATTCAACTGCACGGGTAAGTCAAGCAAATAATGTTTTTACTAAGTGTCTATAGTAAAAAAGAGGAAATGGAAATATAAAAATGCTACAAATGTCCTTTCAGATGTTGACGAATGCGTAACATCCCCGCCGTGTCATTCCAATGCTACGTGCAATAACACAGACGGATCTTATACTTGCACATGTGACTTTGGATATACTGGAGATGGATTCAACTGCACAAGTACTATATTATTCATTGGGAACAATTTTTTTAATAAATATTTAAAAAAATATTAGGTGGGAAATATATGTCATAACTGTCATTTCAGATATTGACGAATGCGTAACATCTCCCCCTTGTCATTCCAATGCTACGTGCAATAACACAGACGGATCTTATATTTGCACATGTGATTCTGGATATACTGGAGATGGATTTAATTGCACAACTAAGACAACCTAAATAATGCTTTAGAGGTACACAATAAATGTAAAAATAAAAATGTTACAACTGTCATTTCAGATTTTGACGAATGCCTGATATCTCCCCCATGTCATTCCAATGCGACCTGTAATAACACCATTGGATCTTATATTTGCACATGTGATTCTGGATATAGTGGAAATGGATTTAACTGCACAGGTTATACAACGAAATAATATATTTTAAAAATATTTGAGATAGAATAGTGACGGAAATATAAAAATGCTACAACTGCCATTTCAGATGTTGACGAATGCATAACATCTCCGCCATGTCATTCCAATGCTACGTGCAATAACACAGATGGATCTTATATTTGCACATGTGATGCTGGATATACTGGAGATGGATTTAACTGCACAGGTAAGACAACGAAAATAATTTAAAATACGTAATATTTGAGTCGATCACAGTGTGTAAGTGGAGAAATAAAAATAGTACAAATGGCATTTTAGATGTTGACGAATGCTTAACATCTTCCCCGTGTCATTCAAATGCTACATGCAATAACACAGATGGATCTTACCATTGCACATGTGATTCTGGATATAGTGGGGATGGATTTAATTGCACAAGTAAGTAGGAGGAAAATTTAGTATTCTAAATCCTTCAAAATAATTGTTTGGTTAAATTGTAATTTTAGATTTTGACGATTGCAAAGTATATTCACCATGTCATCACAATGCTACTTGTAATAGCACAGATGGATCTTATATTTGCACATGTAATTCTGGATATACTGGAGATGGATTTAATTGCACAGGTAAGCCGGCGGAGATATTCTTATTTAAGGGAGTATATTCTTATTTAATGGAGTAAGAGAAGGTATAAATATCGGTTTTCCCTACTGCTCAGGGGTAATTCATAATTGCCGAGCCTGTGCGGCGCACCGTTCGAGGGTACTATTTCCGCCCGGAGATAAGGAATTACACCCGGCTGTCGTGGTAGAACATAGAGGAAGCTAAAGTCGCCCAAGTGACAGAGAGGTTATCTCATTAAACTGTGCCCAAATGCAGTAAACTGAAATAAGACATACTTGACCAGTGAACACAAATAAAACTGAAACGATAGCTCTGTGAAATGTTTCAAGCAAAGATAGCGGATCATAAAGCCTTTCTTGTAGGTATGATCCAGGCCTCCACGCCGAAATTTCACAGGTAAAATGGCTGAATTTTTATTTTACTGGGATCATACTTACAAAAATGGCTTGATCACCCGCCATCTTGGCTTCACTCATTAATGAGGGAAAGTCAGAGAACTAGTTTTCCAGTCTTATTTGAGTTCAATGTATTTGATTGACTTACTTAATAAGTCTAATTTGAGTTCACTGCCAAAATGTCTTTAATGGTAATAAATGGAGCCATTATGCGTAGATAAATGCATTAATTTCATTATATGAGAAGGGGATGTAAACTTACAAAAGTATTAATGAATTTTCCATTACGATTTTCCATTACGTCTTCTTTCCCATTCGGGCGTATAATTCGGACGAAGCGGGTATTGTTTTTTGGAACGACAATTCATAGGCTGCTTTGCTCATTCGGGAAAAGCCAGTGTTTAGAAAGATCCAAATCTTTAAAATAATTAGTTGAATAGAAAAAATTCTATTCTAGACATTGACGAGTGCCAAGCTTCCTCATGTCACTCAGACGCCAAATGCAATAACACTGATGGATCTTATATCTGCACATGTAATACTGGGTATACTGGAGATGGATTCAACTGTACACGTAAGATATTTTAATATCAAATATTTTGATATACCCCTATCCTCCGAAAAGAATCAATTGAAAATAAATAGCTTTATTGATTCTGCTAATTCAGAAATAGACGAATGCCAAACGTCTTTTCCGTGTCATACCAATGCTACGTGCAATAACACAGATGGATCTTATATCTGCACATGTAATTCTGGATTCAGCGGAGATGGATTTAATTGCACAGGTAAGGCAACGTAAATAATTTAATTTACTAAATCTTTGAGGAGGACACAGTTAATGAAAAAATGTACTGAAACTGCTATATTTCAGATGTTGACGAATGCCAAAAGTCTTCGCCATGTCATTCCAATGCTACGTGCAATAATACAGATGGATCTTATATCTGCACATGTAATTCTGGATATACTGGAGATGGATTCAATTGTACACGTAAGAAAGTGCAAATATTTTAATTTGCCATATCTTCCGAAAAGAATCAACTGAAAATAAATAGCTTTATTGATCTTGCTAATTCAGAAATAGACGAATGCCAAACGTCTTTTCCATGTCATACCAATGCTACGTGCAATAACACTGATGGATCTTATATTTGCACCTGTAATACTGGATTCAGCGGAGATGGATTTAATTGCACAGGTAAGGCGACGTAAATAATTTAATTTACTAAATCTTTCAAGAGAACACATTTAATGAAAAAATGTACTGAAATTGCTATATATCAGATGTTGACGAATGCCAAACGTCTTCGCCATGTCATTCCAATGCTACGTGCAATAATACAGATGGATCTTATATCTGCACATGTAATTCTGGATATACTGGAGATGGATTCAATTGTACACGTAAGAAAGTGCAAATATTGTAATTTACCATATCTTCCAAAAAGAATCAACTGAAAATAAATAGCTTTATTGATCTTGCTAATTCAGAAATAGACGAATGCCAAACGTCTTTTCCGTGTCATACCAATGCTACGTGCAATAACACAGATGGATCTTATATTTGCACATGTAATTCTGGATTCAGCGGAGATGGATTTAATTGCACAGGTAAGGCGACGTAAATAATTTAATTTATTAAATCTTTCAGGAGGACACAGTTAATGAAAAAATGTACTGAAACTGCTATATTTCAGATGTTGACGAATGCCAAACGTCTTCGCCATGTCATTCCAATGCTACGTGCAATAATACAGATGGATCTTATATCTGCACATGTAATTCTGGATATACTGGAGATGGATTCAATTGTACACGTAAGAAAGTGCAAATATTTTAATTTGCCATATCTTCCGAAAAGAATCAACTGAAAATAAATAACTTTATTGATCTTGCTAATTCAGAAATAGACGAATGCCAAACGTCTTTTCCATGTCATACCAATGCTACGTGCAATAACACTGATGGATCTTATATCTGCACATGTAATTCTGGATTCAGCGGAGATGGATTTAATTGCACAGGTAAGGCGACGTAAATAATTTAATTTACTAAATCTTTCAAGAGAACACATTTAATGAAAAAATGTACTGAAATTGCTATATTTCAGATGTGGACGAATGCCAAACGTCTTCGCCATGTCATTCCAATGCTACGTGCAATAATACAGATGGATCTTATATCTGCACATGTAATTCTGGATATACTGGAGATGGATTCAATTGTACACGTAAGAAAGTGCAAATATTTTAATTTGCCATATCTTCCGAAAAGAATCAACTGAAAATAAATAGCTTTATTGATCTTGCTAATTCAGAAATAGACGAATGCCAAACGTCTTTTCCATGTCATACCAATGCTACGTGCAATAACACTGATGGATCTTATATTTGCACCTGTAATACTGGATTCAGCGGAGATGGATTTAATTGCACAGGTAAGGCGACGTAAATAATTTAATTTACTAAATCTTTCAAGAGAACACATTTAATGAAAAAATGTACTGAAATTGCTATATTTCAGATGTTGACGAATGCCAAACGTCTTCGCCATGTCATTCCAATGCTACGTGCAATAATACAGATGGATCTTATATCTGCACATGTAATTCTAGATATACTGGAGATGGATTCAATTGTACACGTAAGAAAGTGCAAATATTGTAATTTACCATATCTTCCGAAAAGAATCAACTGAAAATAAATAGCTTTATTGATCTTGCTAATTCAGAAATAGACGAATGCCAAACGTCTTTTCCGTGTCATACCAATGCTACGTGCAATAACACAGATGGATCTTATATTTGCACATGTAATTCTGGATTCAGCGGAGATGGATTTAATTGCACAGGTAAGGCGACGTAAATAATTTAATTTATTAAATCTTTCAGGAGAACACAGTTAATGAAAAAATGTACTGAAACTGCTATATTTTAGATGTTGACGAATGCATAACATCTCCCCCATGTCATTCCAAAGCTACGTGCAATAACACAGATGGATCTTATATTTGCACATGTGATTCTGGATACACTGGAGATGGATTTAACTGCACAGGTAAGGCAACGTAAATAATTCAGCCAAATATATTATTAACCGTACTTTTAGGAGAGTGTGTGGAATACATCAATTGCCAAAATTTTGCTATTGTTAATTTATTGCATGTTAATTGCACACTTCCAATATCGCGGGTGCATTTGTTTGTTGAAGGCAGCATTTATCATTTTATCTTTATGTAAATCACCTCCTTATGATAACGATTTTTCTTACACATAATTATAGTGTCTCAATCGTCTACCACATTTATTACAATGGACAGTTCTTCAGGTAAAGTCATTACAATTTTATGCCTAATTCTTCCGTGTAATGCATGCATTATTATTTGCATGATTGGTATAAATACGTGCATTATTTGTCAAAGCGTTTCAGAATCATAAAATAAGATAAATTTCATAATCCGCTGTTTCTTAATGGTTAAAAATTTCAATCCTTATCACTTTTACAGTCGTGTCATTATCTTCCACTCAAATTTTAGCAACCAGTTCCGCAGGTATAAATTTGACCAATCATTTAGAAAATTCTTTGTATAATTTACGACCAGACCTTGAAAAAATATTTACATATTGAAACTGAATGTCACAGGCGTCTCATCAACGATAGAAATTCAAGCGAATAGCACCAGTGGTAAGTGGATCGAGCTAGAGAATACTCCCCGTGATTTTTGGTGGAAAAACATTTCTTATTGATACATAATTTATTCAACACTTCATTCAATGAATTAAAACGGGTCTGCTTTATATTATTTGAAACTAAACAGTCATTTTCGAGTCTTTGTTGTTCTTTTTTATAATAATGTGTACTGTATGAATACAAAAGAACATTTAACCTCTGTATACGTAGAGAGAGCGCTTTAACAAGAAAAGAATACGTAGTTCACGATGCTTCATGCTTTTCGTCATCGCTGTTACAACTCGTGGCATTTCGAAACATAAATAGTGTTTTAATGCAAAAAACTAAGAGTTGTTTTTTTTAGAACTGGTTAAATTATTATTTTCATTATTATTATATCAACATATTTATACAGTTAACATAACTCCTATGAATGAGTGTGCTGATAAACACTTGGAAATTCAAAATAGATTATGCATATGACAAAATTTTTAACTCGATCAAGCTGCTTCTATAACCGATTTTGAAACGGTTACCGACATTGGGTTATGTCTCGTGTGGACACCACAAAAATGGTTAAAATTAGCTACCGTCTAAAGCAAGCAGAAAATGGCCAATTTCCTTTAGTTTTTCCAGATCAAACTATTTCTAAAATAAATGAATAAAATGACCAGACTATAACTGCCAGACACCGGCTTAACTCCCCTTTTATCTTCACATTTAGAAATACTGTCTTCATCTTTTGTTTCAGTGGATTCTTCTTCAGGTAAAATGAATTTAAATTAGCGATCGATTATTTTTTATGCTTGGAGTATGGGCTGAAGAGGAAATGTTTGAATTCGTTAAATTTTCCCCACCTTATTTTTTTTGTGTTGGAAGAGAATGACAGCACTTCAGACGATTACGCAAATTTACTTTTATAGTGTTCCCTACTGTTGTGTCTACAAGTGAAATTCACCCCACTAGTTCCGCAGGTAAACTTGTATGAATTTTTAAGAAAAACAAAAAATGTTGATTGTCTTAGCTTGTTGCATAACTTTTTGCATCTGATAATCAATTTTTCGAAATACATTGTAATAGGAGACACATCAACGATGGCAACGCAGGCAAGTAGTGCCACAGGTGAATAGAAATTTTTTACTTACGCTGTTTACTGCAATACGCTTTCTACGCATGGGTATACATAGTGGCTACAACTATGCGAAATGCAAGATAAAAAGGAAGAACATTTTTCTCGCAACTTTTACAAGTTTCTCCCGAGTTTTTCCACCGTTAATTGTTTACATGGTAAATGAGTAGGTTGTTTTCACACTCAATTGCATGGATACAATACATATTGCTTAGGTTTTATATTGCTGCATGATTCATGAAATCATCAAGAGCTACGTTACCATACTGTGCAATTATTTCACATTCAGTATCTTAGGATGTTTATCATAACGTTTTGTAGTGATGACAGAATTATCCTCAAGTCAAATCGTATCAAGCAGTTTCACAGGTAAATTTAGGGCAATGTCTATAACATTATTTCTAATGGAGAAATAGGACTTTTACCTTTGTATTATATTTATGTATATATCTCACGTTACAGGTGACGAATCATCGACGATACAAAGTCAAGCAACAAGCATTTCAGGTGATAAATTATTCCAAATGTTTCCAAATGTTTATACTATCTGCATCAGTGAACTCAAATAAGACTGGAACGCTCACTTTGTCGGACGTTTTAGCCAAGATGGCGGCATTGAAGCCTTTCTTGTAGGTATGATCCAGGCCACCACGCGGAGATTTGGTAGGTAAAATGGCGGCAATTATGATTTTACCTTTAAAATTTTCGAGATTACGGATCATGCCTACAAGATAGGCTTCATGATCCGCAATCTTGGCTGCACTCCTAATAAGGGAAAGTCAGAGAGTGAGCGTTCCAGTCTTATTTGAGTTCACTGACATGAATACATACATGTAGCTATATGCTAATCACACAATATTAATTTATACCATCAAAATAATTGGGCTTTAGCGCTAATTAGCCAAACATTATACCCGAAACCATAAATAATAGAGTCTCTTCAAAACCGCAAAAGTTATTTTAAAAATTTTAATTGGAGAAAGTAACAAAAATATTTATATACCTATTTAAAATGTATGTTCACCTATTAATTGCAGTTCTAACCGAGCAATCGTCCAGTCAAATTCAAACAAGCAGCCCTGCAGGTAAAAGGTTTTTAATTTTCAAAATACTTGTCAGGAAATGTCTCTCTCTCTCTTTAAAAAACCTGGGGTTTTCCTTTTAATGTAATTTACATATATCACGTAATAGATGATTCATCGACGATACAAATTCAAGAAACGAGCACCACAGGTAACAAATTATTTCCGATTTTTCCAGAAGTACACTATATAAGTAACATATAGGCTACATGCATACGTGTATAGTAATTTATTCTTCACTCAAAACTACCATGATACACTGCCACTGAAATTCAATATTTTTCATCAGTTAAATCGCGAAGTAAGTTTGTTATACTGCACATTCAGAGTTCTTTTCCATGAATGTTGCCCCTCCCCCCTTCCCTCTTAAGAACCTGTCACACTCTCCAAAAAAAAGCGAAACAATATTATTAAAAATTAAAAACGCATATTATTCTATTGTTTTTAGCTGCAACAGGGCTAACTTCCAGTCAAATTCAAGCAAGCAGCCCCACAGGTAATAATATCTACTTATCAAATAATTGACACAAAAATTATTTCTTTTTTGAAAACCTTTTTCTCTTCACTGACTAATTTGCATATTTCACGTAATAGTTGATTCGTCGACGATACAAATTCAAGCAACAAGCACTACAGGTGATAAATTTTTTTTAACGTTTCCAAAAATACACCACGTACATAAGAATTTATACATGCATTTATAACAAATCCAGCTATATGCAAATCGCAGCTTTTTTTTTGCATCACAATGCCTTCAAAAATATTAGACTTCAGTGCTATTTAATAAAATAACCGCCTCGCAATGGTCGTTCAAACGACTATCTTTCCTGAAAAACTTGCTACCTTGCTATTTAGTGCAAAAGGATACTACGTCATTCGTTGTCATGGATTCTACTTCAGGTAAGATGTATTAAAGGTTGAAAACCTAGAACGGATAAAAAATCTAGTCTCTTTTTGTGCTTTCTACATCATATTGTTGTTTAAAACGCATATTATTCTAATGTTTTTAGCTGCAACAGGGCTAACTTCCAGTCAAATTCAAGCAAGCAGCCCTACAGGTACAAATGTCCGTTTGCGAAAAATTGTCACAAAAATTCTTTCCTTTTTTGAAACTTTTTTATTTTCATGGAACTAATTTACATATTTCACGTAATAGGAGACTCGTCGACGATACAAATTCAAGCAAGCAGTCCCACAGGTGAAAAATGACCATTTGATGAATAATTGTCACAAAAATGATTTCTTTTCCTGGAAATTTTATTTTTTGAATCTTATTTATATATCTCACATAATAGATGATTCATCGACGATACAATTTCAAGCAACGGGCACAACAGGTAAAAAATTATTTCCGATGTTTCTAGAAATACACTATATAAATAACATATACATGCATGATGCATACGTATATAGTAATTTATTCTTTACTCAAAACTACGATGGATATGATACACTGCCATAGAAATTGAATGTATTTCATCAGTTAAATTGCGAAGTAAGTTGTTATACCGCACATTCAAAGCTCTTCTCCATGAATGTTTAGGGACCCCCACCCCTTAAAAACCTTTCAAACTCTCCTACAAAAGCAAGACAATGCTTTTCAAAATTTAAATCGCAAATTATTGTATTGTTTTTAGCTGCAACAGGGCTATCGTCCAGTCAAATTCAAGGAAGCAGCCCTACAGGTAGGCTAATAATATCCATTTTCCAAAAAATTGTCATAAACATTATTTCTTTTTTGGAACGTTATTCTTTTTACGCACTAATTTGCATATTTTACGTAATAGTTGACTCATCGGCAATACACATTCAAGCAACAAGCACCACAGGGGAAAATTTTTACGTTTCCAGAAATACACAACGTACATAAGGATATATACATTCATTTATAATAAATCCAGCTATATGCAAATCGCAGCATAATATTTTTTTGCATCACAATGCCTTAAAAAATATTACACTTCAGTACTATTTAATTAAATAACCGCCTCGCAATGGTCGTTCTAACGACTATCTTTCCTAACGAACTTGCTTTCTTGCTATTTAGTGCAAAAGGATACTACGTCATTCGTTGTCATGGATTCTTCTTCAGGTAAGATGTATTGAAAGTTTTAAACCTACCGAAAAAATCTAGTCTTTTGTGGTGCTTTCTACATCATATTGTTGTTTAAAACGCATATTATTCTATTTTTAGCTGCAACAGGGCTAACTTCCAGTCAAATTCAAGCAAGCAGCCCCACAGGTAAAAATGTCCGTTTGGAAATAATTGCCATAAAAACTACTCTTTGTTGAAAATTTTTCTTTTCTTGGGACTAATTTACATATTTCACGTAATAGGAGACTCGTCGACGATACAAATTCAAGCAAGTCCCACAGGTGAAAAATTACCATTTGATGAATAATTGTCACAAAAAAATTTTTTTCCCTGGAAATTTTGATTTTTGAATCTTATTTACATGTATCTCATAATAGATTATTCATCGACGATACAAATTCAAGCAATAGGCACAACAGGTAAAAATTTTTTTTCTATGTTTCTCGGAATACACAATATAAATAACATATACATTCATGATGCATACGTATGTTTGAGAATGTTTGGGCCCCCCTCCCTAAAAACCCTTCACACTCTCCTACAAAAGCAAGAAAATGTTATTAAAATCTTAAATCGCATATTATTTTATTGTTTTTAGCTGCAACAGGGCTAACTTCCAGTCAAATTCAAGCAAGCAGCCCTACAAGTAATAATATCTACTTACCAAATAATTGTCATAAACATTTTTTCTTTTTTTGAAACGTTTTTCTATTCACGGACTAACTTGCATATTTGACGTAATAGTTGACCCATCGACGATACAAATTCAAGCGACCAGCACCACAGGTAATAAATTTTCAACGTTTCCAGAAATACACCACGTACATAAGGATATTTAAGGATATTTTTTGCATCACAATCCCTTCAAAAATATTAGACTTCAGTGCTATTAACAAAAATACGCCTCGCAATGGTCGTTGAAACTATTATCATTCCTGACGAACTTGCTACCTTGCAATTTAGTGCAAAAGGATACTACGTCATTCGTTGTCATGGATTCATCGGTGATACAAATTCAAGCAACAAGCACCACAGGTGATTAATTATTCCCAACGTCTTCTGAAATACACTATTTATATAAGGATATAAATTATGATAAATCCAGCCAGATGCTAATCACACCATATTTTTTTTGCATCATATCGCCTTCAAAAATATTATTTTTTCATTATATCGCCTTCAAAAATATTCTTTTTTTTTCATCATATCGCTTAAAAAAATATTAGACTCCAGTGCTAATTAACAAAATAACCAACTCGCACTGCTCGTTTAAACGACTATCTTATAAACGGATCGCAAACGATCGATGATCAAATGAACGGTCCCTTTTTTTACTATTTAGTGCCAAAAGATACTTCATCATTTGTTGCCATGGATTCTTCTTCAGGTAAAGTGTATTGAAATTTGAAATTCTAGCACCAATAAAAAATCAATTCATTTTTTTCTTAAGAATACCATGATACCCAAATTTTCAAATTAAGTGTGTTCCATAATTATACAGATGTGCATGAATATCAGTTTTCAAATTGTGAAGTAATTTATTTGAGATCCCACAATTATAGTTATTATTTCACAAATGTTTAGATATCTTCCCCCTGAAAACCTTTAAAGCTCTCATAGAAAAAAATTGATCATTGAAAATTTCAATTGGAATAAGTGCCAGAGTAATTTCATATTGTATTACTTTTTAAAACGCATATTATTCTAATGTTTTTAGCTGCAACAGGGCTAACTTCCAGTCAAATTCGATCAAGCAACCCTACAGGTAAAAATGACCATTTGCGAAATAATTGTCACAAAAATTCCTTTTTTTTTAACTTTTTTTCTTTTCATGGAACTAATTTACACATATCACGTAATAGTTGACTCATCGACGATACAAATTCAAGCAGCAAGCACCACAGGTGATAAATTATTTTCAACGTTTCCAGAAATACACCACGTATACGTATACATAAGTATATATATATATATATATATATATATATATATATATATATATATATATATATATATGTATATATATATATGTATATATATATATATATATATATATATATATATATATATATATATATATATATATATATATATTATATACAAGCATGTATAATAAATCCAGCCATATGCTACTTGCAACATATTATTTTTTCAACATAATGCCTGCAAAAATATCAAGCTTAAGTGATAAGGCCTTGACTATCTTACCTGATGAACGATTGCTATTTTGATATTTAGTTCGAAAGGATACTGCGACATTTGTTGTCATGGACTCTTCTTCAGGTAAAATGTATTAATATTTAAAAACGTGGCATCGACAAAAAACAAGTAATATTATTGGGAGTATCATGATACGCCATTGAGGTTGAGCGTGGTCCATACACCGATCATGTAATGCATGCATCAGTTTAATTGTGAGGTAATAAGTTTGAAATACTGCACATTCAGAGTTCTTAGAGAATGAATGGAAAAACCCCGCTTAAAGATTTTTCAGGCTCTCCTTAAAACAAAAAAACAATGGTGGAAAAAAAATTTCAATAGTAACAACTAAGTAGCCTATCAGTTATGAAAAATATTTAAAATATTGCTGCTTGAGAGGCATGTTGTTCTCTGTTTTAATTAAATCTCTAGTAAAATTCAAGCAATTAGTCCCACAGTTAAGAAAATGTTCTTTTTCAAAATATTTTGTGAGGAAAAATCTTTATAGCTTTAGGCATAAACCAGGGTTTGATATTTTTTTATGGAATTTAATTAAATATCTCATATAATAGGTGACCAATCGACGAAACAAATGCAAGCAACAAGCACCGCAGGTGATAGCCTAAACTAGTTTGATCATTGCCAGAAACACATCAGTGGCGGCTCTAGGGGAAGTCAGAATAAATTACATGCACACGTCTAAATTTTATGCTGTATAGTATAATTTTTTCAGACTACCTCTAGACCCGCCACTGAAATACACTACGTATATATACAAGATATACACAAGAATGTATAATAATAACTCTAAATAGTATTACGTGCTATTATCTATAATCACTCCGTTTTAATCTATGGCATCATGATGTTGACGAAAGTATTGATGTTGTGCTTTTAGTAGTGATTAAAAGATAACCGCAGCGCATTAATGTTCATTTAAACGAAATTCGTTATTCTTACTTCATGAGCGCTTGCTATTTTCAAAATGTAGAGCCGAAAGATACCACGTCATTTGTTGTCATGGATTCTTATTCAGGTAAAATGAACTAAAATCTTAAAAAATCAAGTCATCTTTGGCTAAAAAATTGCATAAAACACGGCCATTGCAATTAAGTGTGTTCCATATTATACACTCAGGTAGGTATTTACAGTATGACATTCAGTTGCATCAAATTAATTCGATTGTGAAGTAGGAAGTAACGCACTTTTAGAGTTCTTTTGAAAATTTCAATTCAAATCAGTACCAAAGAAAATTTAAATTATATTGATTATAATTTCTATAATGCATGCATGTTTGTAGCTGCAAAAGGGCTATCTTCTAGTCAAATTCAAGCAAGCAACCCCACAGGTAAGAAATGTTTATTTCCAAATCATGCATCGTGACAAAAATATTTTTTCTTTCCTTTTTATGTAATTTATTTAAATGTCCCATGCACGTTATAGTTGACTCAGCCACGATGCAAATTCAAGCAACTAGCGCCACAGGTCAGTGAAAAATTATTTCCAATCTTTCCAGAAATATACACTATCTACATACTCTCCATACTAGACTAAATACGGATATATACATACCTGTCTAATAACTTATGTTAACTGCGGTTTTTTCATACCATATAAGATTGTGACATCTTAGTTGATGCATTCAAAAATATAGGTCTCATTGCCAATAACACAAAAATCTGTCGTATACTGACACTCATAAAAAACGAGTTACTCCTAATATCAGAGTGCAATTAAAAATGAGTGTTGAAAGGGTTGAGCGTATAAGGTAGGGCTTTTAAATTTGTAAAGTGTAGAGAATAATATATACATGGATACACGGAAATACAGCATTTATTTTCAGTGTTAAGGCCTGGGTTATACGTCGCATTTTTGTCGCGTCGAATGCAATTCAAACAACAGATATATATAATAATGAAGCTTGATGTGGTTAATTTATCTGAGACGATAAACCACGTTAAGCTTCATTATCGTACATACCTATTGTTTGAATTGCATTCGACGCGTCTAAAATGCGTCGCATAACTATTGGTCTATAGATACTAGTGCCGATAGATACTACTTGCATTATTTACTGTCATATACTGACACCCATAAAAAAACGAGTTGCTCCTAATATCAGAGTGCAATTAAAAATGAGTGTTGAAAGGGTTGAGCGTTTAAGGTAGGGCTTTTGAATTTGTAAAGTGTAGAGAATAATATATACATGGATACGCGGAAATATAGCATTTATTTCCAGTGTTATAAGGCCTGGGTTATACGTCGCATTTTGGACGCGTCGAATGCAATTCGAACAATAGATAATAATTATTATGGAATTGTATGGAATTCTTCAGATTCTTGGCATTATAAACACCAGTTTGAAAGAGAGTATATAATTATAGATATACACGGTATATTTATGCTATACAAATATTTTTTACCTTCCAGAATTTATCATGAATCTGGTCACTTCAACAGGTATAACTAATAACAATCACTGCTATACATATACCAGTAATTTCCTGTTACAAACGCTCTGTTTGCAATTTAATCTGCTATATTTTAATATTCTTGTAAGTTTGCATGGTGGCATCAATAAGTAAATTAGTTTGTATAGGTACATCACGTGCAAGTATTTAATGCTGTAAAGCTTTGTAATGCTGTAATGCTGTAAACTCTGAATGAGAATAAACTAATGCTCGGGCTCAGAGAAATTCCGGCCATGCCAAATTTAAAAACCAATGCGCAACTTGACATAACTTTATTGCTATACATGATCTGTGAAAATTTAATTAATTCAAATTCGACTTATATTACAGATGCTCTTCCGAGTCCACCGACTACAACATCAGGTCAGTATCGCATGCATAATTCATCCCTGACTGAAAATGCTGCTTTGAAAGTTTTCCTTTCATCTTCCACATTGGCTAGATATACTAAAAACGGCCGATGATTCATCTAGACGATGTTGGGCAAGCGTAAGATAGTTCGTCTTTTAGTTCCTCTGTGTGTAAACACGGGCGAACAGACGATCATCCGTCAAAACGAATATTATCTATTCGACGAATTTGAATGGGTAGTTCGTCTTGACGCAGCATTTGTGTGTTGTATGATACGAGGAGGGACAAACCACGAAAAATTAATCATCAAGTGACTCTTGTGCACTCTTTTCACCAGATAAATATCTTCCCAATTCCCATGCACTTTCTAAACGCGCAATTTTTTTGTTTTAAAAAAGTATATTTATTAATTATATGCATAGTATCGCATGAAACGAAAGTCCTAAGAGTGCACTAAACTTCAATAGAGATTTGATAATGAATGAATTATGTTATGTTGGAACCAGCGCATCCGATTTTTACAAGTTTGCTGTTGGAGAACATGCTAATTTTTTACTACACTATACAAAATCTTCTCTCAATATCAAAGCTCGACATCATAACTGCCGCATTGAATCACTCATTTTTCTCTTTGCCTGGTAGTCAAGTTACCATCGTCTTTTGCAATTGCACCAACGGCAACTACACAAGGAGCTGAAATCGTATCATCAACGCAGTCACCGAGTTCAGGTATTTAACACAATTTTTAAACAAATTATTATACATGATTTTCTTCACTTGCAGATAGAAAAAATTGTTCGTAGCAACTTATTTGCATATTTTCTTTTAAAACGAAACAATCAAACTGAAATATTGTATTCATGCATTCTGTCAAAATTCAAAAGAAAATAATTATGCAAATGTTGAAAACTACCTAAGTCGGAAAAAATTATGACAGCTCTGATTTGCCATCACTTTGGTTGATTTTATTTCTTTTAATTATATTCTTTTGAAATCGATAACCAATAGCGTTGTACTTGAAATTACGCCATGTACTTTATTTTAATTTACCCTCAATTCGCCAATGCTCTTATAAGCGTCCCCCAAATTCACTTCAGTTTAAAACTTTTTGATCTTACCCCCTTTGTGTATAAGCTGTTAAATGTAGCATTAGTAATGATAGAACATGAATCAACGCGTATTCTGTACCTAATGCGATTTGTTTCCTCCCAGGACGCGGAAACAGTAAATAATTTTAACTACATTATAATTATATGCACTTTTATATACATAGCTCCTTGCTCGACAAATCCATGTGATGTCAATGCAGTCTGTACAAACGTCGGGAATACCTTCTCATGTAGCTGCAATACGGGTTACACTGGCACAGGAAAAACTTGTACAGGTACAAAATTTTTATACCCGTTATCACCCAAACCGTTATCATCCCAGGTTTTTAAATATGGGTTTTTTATTCCGACATCTTTTCACATACAGTAGGAGGCAAAAGTTTGAGTCCAGTTACTGTATTTAATTGTTTTAGCAGCATATATTAATATTCTATAGAAAACCTTACCGATAAGTGAACTAGGAAAAAGTAAATAAGTAAACAGAAAAATACATGCTGCACAACAACTATGATGTGTTATGATATTCATTTAACGTATGTTAATGTGCAAACATGCATTTCATGTCAATGCTTAGTATCCCTCTTTTTTTCTCTTGAAACGGCCTTTATTCTTGCTGGCGTAGATTCCATAGGTTTTTTAATGTCGCACGTTCAATACCTTGCCAGCATTCGTTGACCACTTGCCTCAAGTCATCCTGGCTGGTGGGTCTGTGTCTCGCCCTTTTCCGCTTAAAATGGTCCTACAAGTGCTCCATAGGTTTTAGATCTGGAATTTGAGGTGGAAAGCCATGAGAAAGAGATCACCAAAACGAGTTTGCTTCTGGATTTCTGGCACATAGAAGATGTGCATGTGCTTAGGGTGATTGTCATGTAGTTAGACGCGCGATCATCTTTGTAGCAGATGAAATTCCGTGTCCTTGAAGATTTGGATGATACTTTTCTTTAATTAGGATCCCATTATATCTTTCAATATTGCCAAACCCAGCATGACCGAAGCAGCTAAAAGTTTGCTTGAGTAGGATTTAGTTTCCTCGAACCTCTCCAAGGTTAGTTGCATACCACCTTTTGAAATTCTCGCTTTTTCTGCGATCTTACAACGAAAGAATCCTTCAATACTTATTGCAACTATTTGTTCTTGTGCACCATCACTTTGCCCTTTTCCCACTCATCTTGGGCAATGTTAAGGAATAAGAACTTTATTTTGTGATAATTTAGATCATTAGGGCCGAAACAGTGTGCAATTAATATGGTTTACTGTTCTGAAACACTAGCACGCAGGTCTTAACTCGAATACACTGCCAGGATTTAATACTGGTATTCTACAACGACTGGACTCAAACTTTTGCCCCCTACTGTATGTATTGTACATAATTATTTGTTGTAATATCAATGAAAACACTAAACACGTTTCAATAACAATAAGCCTTTTCATATGTTCACACGTTTACTACGAACCCAGACAAAATATGCCTTAGCTATATATCTACATGTCTATTACTCAAGCATAATGTTGCCGGATAGTGTTACCATAACTTGTCAAGAAAGGTCAGAGATCTATATACTACAATGCCTTATTATATCCACATTTTCGCGACACCATACATGTTTTAAACAGAAGTGGTTTATCGCAATTTTTATTTGAAAAATTATTTCAAGTTTTTTAGCGTTTCACCTTCTATTGAAAATACCTATGCGCCTCCGTAAATCAATCGCCTGTTTTTTAGGCATTTTTTTGCATTACAAAATCGCCGATTTTTCCAAGTCCTTGTATATTTATGAGCATTTTTTTAGATGTAAACGAATGCACTTCATCACCGGGAATATGCGGAAATAGTTTGTGTGAAAATAGATTTGGTTCCTACGTGTGCAAATGTCCTACCGGATTTTTCTACATTGGAAATAAATGCGAAGGTAGGTTTTCCCGTGTTACTAGGTTAATATACAACATTAAGATAAACGTTTAAGTATATGAAATTTTGTTTGTTTGCATGTTTCCTTGGGTATAATTGTCATTCAAGACAAGTGATTTTTCAAGAACTCATTATAAATCCTTGACCTCTTATTAAACGTAGGAAAAAAAAGATCGTATTATATTTTCCATTCATATAGAGGCATTGTCTTATAAGCTGGAGTTCACCGTCATAGAAGGTGCTTCTTACTCGGACGATCTGCAAAACAAAACATCCAAAACATACATGGAATTACAAAAGGCTCTGGAAAGTGATGTATGTGCTTCTATATATTTTTCGGTATAACTTCAAACAGTGTTGCGACGTAGCACACAATTGTCCAACGAATGTTAATTATTGTAACGAATGTCAATGATTGTAACGAATGTCAATGATGGTAACGAATGTCAATGATTGTAACGATTCAATTGAACCTAGCCAGTTTTTATTACTAACAAACCGATTACTTATGAATTTAAAATCGTGTTATGCAAAATGCAATACTGGAATAGAAAAGGCTGGAATTATTTCCAGGTGTGATATAAATGTACTTCTTTTCTCTTACACATGACAATAACATGTGGTGCAGTAAATAGTACCCGGATGCGGTAAATGCATCCCATGGATGATAAAGTATGGAACTTTTTCAAACTAGGTCGAGGCTGATTTTAAAGCATCGTCACAGTCATCCAACTACTTAGGTGCATATTTGGAAAGTTTCAGGTAAAATAATAATTTTTTTTTTTAATTTCTTATTGAAAATAATTTGTTTTTGACGGTATAATTGTTCTTTTGGAAAGAAGCCCCTACATTATCAAGCCAGTTCAAATTATTTCTTTTGCTCCAGCCGTGATGATGCCCAATCTTCTGGTGGTGTAGTTGTTACCTTTACAATTTTCACTGAAAAAGCTGCATTTAATGCTACTCCGACTGTACTTGGAACAGCTTTCAACAGCGGGCTAAAAGACGACACAGTTGGAGGTATTAAAAAGCGAATTCTTGGAAATGATTATGTTCTTGCTAAAAGCACCAATGGAAAGGATTTTTCGCCTTCTCTTGATAATGTTGTCGGTGAGTGTTTACATAGCTTCCATTCACAGGGGCAGAACCAACCTAGAAATAAACATTTCTACTTTAGGATGGTAATTTAAAGTACCGATACTGTATTTTAAAAGTGTTCGCAGTCTTTAATTCTAATCTAATCTTCCCTGGGCTTTCTTTATTAAAACACTGATGTTATAAGTGATAACTCGTCTTTTTATTGGACGCTTTTGTTTTAAAATGTAATTGCAATCGCCAAAACTTCCCATCATTCAAAATCCAGACACTTTGCTTAAGATAAGGGATAGTTATTATCGAAAAGCTATTATGTTTTCACGTAAAATTATCATTTATACGAAAATGTCTGTGCCAAAATTTAGACAATTGTTACTGAAATCAGTGATAAGTCAGGCATTATATACCGGTTATTCAGGTCATTATTGCTGAAATCTTTTGCCTGCCCTACCCCTACCCAAAAATTTTATATACGCTTCCTATTTATGCCTTTTTAAACGAAATCTTTACTTTGCTGCCCAACGTAAAGTAACTAGATATGTAAGTGTAACTGAATGAAGTAAGTTCTTATTTTTCCCGCTCTAAAATTTATTCATGATATTAACTCGATAATTTGCTACAAATGCCTATGTAGTGTTGCTGTCTAGGAGTACCCCAGTTAGCTATTTATTCTTCAAATTTTTAGCCGACATAAATGAGTGTTCCCAAAGCCCAGCAATATGCGGTGATGGTCAAAAATGTGAAAACCTTCCTGGAACATATCGTTGTTATTGTGCTAGCCCTGGGACACATCTTGTCAAGGGAACCTGTGTCGGTAATTGTTCTTGATTTTTTTTTTGTTTAGCCTACTTCAATCACGCGAATATCAATTCGTCGTTCATCGAATGTGGGTGTAAATTTCTGAGGCATACATTTAATACATTGTTAGGAAGTGTTATAAATCGGAGTTGTATGCATTTTGCGTTACCCAATTAATAATAATTTCAAATTTCCCATCTGTTGATGATTGTGTGATATACTGAAAAAATCAGCTCATCCTCATAACCAGAAATTCAGGACATGAATTACCATAAAAGTTCATAATGCCAGGATTTCGCAATCAAAGTTAATCTGGTTATTGTAGACTTATAGATCGATTTAAGACGAGCAGAAACTCAGTACTTTTATCACAATTTTTACATATTTTTATTTTACCTTCATCAGGTTCTCCAGGAATGTCATCTGAGCAACTTGCTAGCCATTATATTTCAAGCAGCTATGAAATTACCTGGAACCTGTTATAGGCCCGTATTAAATCGAGCTCCGCAACTGCAATACCTAAGATAGAAGTTGCTTTAATTTGAAATTTTTTCTCGTGCCTTATATAATTCTATAATAACAAGACAGCCATCTTTGATTACGAAATCCTAGCATACGAACTTTTATGATAATGTCCTGAATTTCTGGGTATGTTTTAATAGTTTTCTAGCTGTAATGAGCATCTATAGCTTGATAAACAGCTACTGTATAATAAACTTGTTCTACCAGCGGACGCGGCTCTCTATATGATCATGCATGGTTCTACCAGCGCAAGCTCTGTATAGGATCATAGTTCTATATACAGGGTATGCCCTCTATTGGATCATGGTGCTACCAGCGCAAGAGCTCTATATGATCATCATGGCATAATAGGCTTTCTAGGATCATTGTTCTACTAACGTAAGCCTTCTACAGGTTCATGATTCTACCAGCATAAACGCTTTAGGAACATGATTCTGTTAGCTTATGTTCTCTATTGGATCATATATAGTTCCAGCAGCGCAATCTAGCTCTCTAGGATTACGGCCCTACCAGCGCCAACTCTCGCAGCACCCTTCTCAAATTTTAAATTTTTTTCCATTCCTAGGAGCATTTTTGTATCAGCTGGAGTTCACAATTATAGAAGGTGCTTCTTACTCGAACGATCTGCAAGATAAAACATCCCCAACGTACATGGCATTACAAAAAGCTCTGGAGGCCGATGTATGTGGCTGCTTTTTCTCTATTTTCATTATGATTACAACCAGTGGTGTCATAGAATAATTTCTAGACCTTTGACCATAGTACTAATTCTCTCAATAAATTAGTTACACACGTTAATATTTACAACCTTGCTTAGTCTACAAATCGTTAGTAAAGGAAAAAAGTGCCATCGTCATAATTCAAAGAAAAATGCAACACTGATAAATTCGATGTCTATTAAAGACATACTCTTTCAAGACAATCATGTATACTGCAACAGGTTACAGAAAAATGAAGCATATTTTTCCTAACTATAGGTTGAAGCTAATTTTCAAGCATCATCTCAGTCCTCGAATTTCTTTGGTGCATATTTGGAAAGTTTCAGGTAGGCAATTATAATGTTTATTTCACAGACGTCGGGTTTTTAAAAGAATTCTTTTTTAACGTCATGAATATTTCTCACCTAACTTGACTGCAATTGTCTATTAATTAGCACTTAAGGCTTTGTGCACACGAGCGGCGTTTGCGAGCGTTATCAAAATCGTTTTTATTGAGTTTGTCGCGGCATGAAAATGAAAATGACACGCTCGAAAACTTTAAGGTGTGAATATTGTCTAAGTCATATTTGCTCGTCTCTTTCAGCCCTGATAACGCCCAGTCTTCTGGTGGTGTAGTTGTCAACTTTACAATATTTATTAACAACACTGCATTTGATGCTACTCCAACTGTGCTTGGAACCGCTTTTAACAGCGGGTTAAACGATCAAACAGTGGGTGTTATCTTAAAGCGTGTTCTTGGAAATGATTATGTTCTTGCTAAAAGCTCAGATGGCAAAAACTTTTCTCCGTCCCTTGGCAATGTTGTCGGTAAGACATAACGTACAATTGCAGAGTAGCAAAAACTGTGAAATCTGCCTGTCTAAGCACGTAATTCGATCGCTTTAGGACAGCACTTTCTATCAATTCAAATTAAATTTGGATATAAAATATTTTACTTTTCAAAATTTCCACATTCTCATTAACACGAAAGTATAAATAATTGATATCATGCAAGGTCGGGCATTGGACGAATAAATTGATTTACCCTTTCCCATTTAAACTGCTTACGGCGGCCCTGGTACAGTGGAGGTACGTGGAGCGCATTTTTAACTGGGTAAAAACTACTTCATAATTTTTAAAGGTGAATTCGATCAGGTAAATCACTCCTTTTGGGGTATAGTTTAGGCCATTCCGACTTCACAGTCTGGTCTTCTCCGGCCGTTTATAGGAACTGTCCGGTTAGTTAGTTATTCTTCGATATTTTAGTCGACATAAACGAGTGTTCCCGAAACCCAGCAATATGCGGTGATGGTCAGAAATGTGAAAACTATCCCGGCACATATCGTTGTTATTGCATCAGTCCTGGAAAATATCTCGTTGGAGAAACCTGCAACGGTAATTATTCTTTCATTGTTTTTGCTAATTGGGGTGCCAACTAATGGTAAAAATGTTTGAATAAAGGGAAGTTTGAATCTCTAACATCGCCATTTGTTATCGCCAGGCTAACTGCATGAATCTAGGATCATGAAACCGGTAGATAAGATGCATGTTATTTACCGGCTACGATGTCTGGAGAGAAAGATACGACCCGAGGGTCGCGAAGGAAATCTTTTTCTATCCGGACCGACTAATAACGGTAAATATAATAGTATTTTTTACAAAAAGCGGCACTCGTTCGGGCAAAAGCATAAACAATCAAATCCTTATTCGTTTAATTACTCCGGCGTCAGCGATGGAGTTGAAAATTCGCCTCGGTTTGTTTTGCTGTGATTTTGTTTTATTTTTTTAATTTTTTATTATTATTTTTCGTCGTCGCAAGTGTGCGAAATATAGTATTTGAGATGTGTATGTGATCGGATTTATCTACGTCCCTTATTCGTCACGTGTCCATTGTATTTTGAACAAATAAACCAATAGTAAGGTCTGAATTAACATCTTGTTCAAGTCATTGTTGAAAAGCTAAGCCAAGCCATTGCTATTGGTTATTTGGGCAAAAATACAATAGGTATGTGACGGATAAGGAACCATTTTTTGCATTAACATGGACAATAACATATAATAATTTGTATTGTACTGCATCTAGTCTCCAAACTATGTCTTTTCTAATAACTGTGCTGTTACAGCCACTCAGACTGCAGGAGAATCTAGGATTCCGCCCGCTGCATTTTGTAAAAAAATGAATACCAATATGCATTTTTCTGTTTGATTCAGGTATTTTGTCATACGAAGGTGGATTTGTCATTATTAATCGCAATTATACACCTATGTACAATGATAAAAATAGCATTGAGTATTTGCAATTCAGTGAAGAAGTGGCATCCTGGGTAAATAATTATGTACATCTAATTTCTTAATTTCAAGTCATTTCAACTAAACTTTTGCGACCTAAAGTGAATGTTAAGAGGGATTTCCACTTACAGCGAAATCGTTCGCTAGCGAAATATTTGCATATTTTCTTTTGAATTGAGAACAGTCAAGTCGAACTAATTTATTTATGCTGTTAAAATTCAAAAGAAAATATGCAAACATTTCGCTAGCGAACGATTTCGCTGTAAGTGGAAATCCACCTTAAGTCTTTATCTACCCTTCAAAAATGGCTGATAATATATCGTAGAATGAAACCGAAATTTTGCATTGATGACATTTAGAAAAATAGATTTTGTAGTCAAACAAATAGTTTGGCGAATAATACTGTAGACATGCAGTAATATACTGTGATACTGTCCTGATATGTGTATAAATAACAACTTTATTTATTGATATTAACCTCGCTTTGAGCCGCGTTAAATAAATTGTTTTCTCGTACGTACTATTTTTATATTTAAATGTTCCTCACACATTTTTCATTTTTCATTAAGGTGGAAAAATATTACCTGAAGACTAAGTTTGCCGCCAACCTTGTAGGAGTCCGGGTTATCAAGCTTTAGTATGTATACCTTTTCCAACTAAAATTTAACTTGTCGTATGTTCATTTATTTCTCACTGCATGACTGTTTAACGTATAAATCGAATTTTTCTAATTAGTCCAGGATCTGTTGGGGTTGATACAATATCAGCTTTTGATCCAGCAGCAACTGGAATCACGGCAAGTGGTTTGAGTCAGGAATTAGAGCCAAAGTTAGACCTAGTAAGTGGCGGGAAATATATTGGGCCACTCCAACTTACAAGAGTCCCTGGAGAGAATGCTCTAAATTTTTCAGGTGGGTAAGATAGGTAAGAAATAAAAAGTCGTAGCTGATTGGTCAATTCTAGTTTTCCTTAGCAACAGGGTAGCAACAGAACCGGCAATGAAAATTCTGTATAATTTAAACATGTTTATACTTACTAACATTTGTGTCATTTTGCGACGTTTTTGAACATTCTTTGCGATTTTTAATTTTATGAACAATAAATTGTTTTATTTACGCGTACTTTTTTAGTTTAGTCAAGGACGAAAAAGGATACCATTATTCAATAATAATTTGAATAATTTTAGTTTCACAATTTTGATTGCAAAAAACATCGGAATATAACACTTTGCTCTCGCTTCAAAAAAAAACAAGTAGAAAACATCGAAATAAATGCACAATAGCGACTTTTTAAAAAAACATGACAACGATAAATAATTACTCAATTTTCATTGCTGATTCCGTTGCTATCCTGTTGCTAAGGAAAACTAGAATTGACCAATCAGCTGCGATTTTTGTTGAAAGCCGTATATGACCATGCATAATCACTATTCTTCATCAGTTATATTATAAGTATTATATACTTGTACTGTATCCATTACGAGATGAAAAAAAGAGAAATTCTGAATGAAAAAGACACAAATAAATGTTAAAGAGGAAATTTAATTTATTTTGAAATTAATAAAACGTATCCAGACAGTTTATGTAAACTAAATAATTTCATATATTTTTTCGTTATTGTCAAATGCTTACACGGCTACTAATACAAATTCATGCAATTCATGCCACAACAACAACAACAACAACAACAAAGACAGCAACAGCAACAGGCAGCAATAGCAACTGCAACAGGCGGCAATAGCAACAAGCAGCAATATGCAGCAACAGCGGCGGCAACGGCAACGCCAGCGGCAGTGACAGCAACAGCAACAGCTACAGCAATAGTTTAAATTGTATTTTCTTTAATTCTTTTCTTAAATTTTTTTCCTAACAGACTATGACGAGTGTAATCCTGCTGAAGACATTCATATTCCAGATTGTGCAGAACACGCGTCTTGTGTTAACCTTGAGGCAACTTACAACTGTTCTTGCAATGAAGGGTATACAGGCGATGGTGTAACTTGTATAGGTAATGAAGGTTCTTTCAGGAATTTATTTCCTTTGAGCCATGGGGCGCCATCAGGTTTCAAACTTGAGCGTGAGATCGTCCAAGGTTTTAAGGAATTATTAACGTTTTTTTTAAACGTTAATTATCACAAAGGGCCGGACTTAATTACTGGGCCAACATGGTGGCAACTTATATGTTTGAAGAAGCCTTGAGATCGTTTCAAAATATGAAAAAAAATTGAGAATTTTGAAAAAAATTTAGTTATAAAATGTGTCTAAGCTACTTCTTTTCTTTCATTCTAGCACTCCCACCGCTATTGGAAGGTGAGATTGCCGTGCCGTTTATTCAATTATATATTCGTTTGTTCAAATTCCAATTCAAATTTTGTTCTAGTCACGCCAATTATCGTTTTAGTCACGCCACGGATTGCATTTATATTTATATTTACAAAAGTAACTTATTAGGTGATCTATATAATGCTGCTATATAAAATATGCAAAAAAGATGCCACATTTGAGTTCCTCCATATTTAACCGCAAGTTAATTAAAAAAGCTGTCAAACTGCTCCCAAGTAATTTCTAAAATTTAATGTTGGCTTAGTGAGTTAACAACTGATTTTATGTTTCCCTTACATTTAGTGGACAAAGAAGACAGTTTAAAAGTGAAATATATGTTTAGTACCATGCTAGTATTTCTGGCACTGTGCATCATATTCTCAATCGTGTTCATACTACTCTCAGTTTGTCAGTAAGTTAAAATATTTTCGATTGATCTTCAAGTGGTATTGGTTGCACCTTCTTTCCAAAATATAAAGGGTAAAAAAGCGTAAAGCCCCTAGCCCCCGTCTCAATTTTCCCAGATTCAAGGCCCGCGAAACAATTTGGAGAGCGAGGGGGGAGGGGGGGGGGCACGGGCAAAAAATGACACTTTCGCATATCGAACTATATATCACATTCAACCCCTTACATCTGCAAAGAGCTTGAAATTCACTGAATATAATTACTTTACGTAATTATTTATTCTGTAGTGCAACATCTTGCTTGCTACATACAAATCTCTACTGAATCTGAGAAGATGTACAATAACAATAACGCACATTGAATGACTCGAAGAAGGACACGTTCGCTTGAAAAAAGGCACATTTTAGTATTTTCAAAATCGTGTCCCAGTGCCCTGGTTTTGCTGCCCCTGCGGTCGAATTTAATTTTCGCAGTAATGCAACTTGGGGGAAATTCGGTGTTACATGCAGATAAAAACTACTTCAATGCAGTTATATTTTCACGCATTGTTCATTTTTATTCTAATTTAAGAATTTTGGAAAGAAGAAAACTGTATCAATTGACCAAAAAGGTTGAACGTGTTGAAATGCAAAGTGAGTACTCCGATTCAATAACAGCTCCCACTCATCGAAGAAGTGCTGCAATGTATAATTACTACGATTAGCCAATAAACAAACATTGTAATTATAACAATTTTATCACCCATATGTACGTATTTTTATTCAGCATAACAATTTTTTGGAACAAGAAAAATCAATATATTACTGAAATGTAAGAATAGTATTTAAATAGGAAAGTATACATATACAGGGATTAATGTCACACCATAGTACCCAAGACTATATAAGATTTTATTTGGCGGGAAGAGAGTGTACAATTCAACTTATAAACGGAACAAACATACAATACAGCTACAGGCAAACTTTCTTCCGTTCAATGTCCTTCTGTGTTCATTGTAGGAGCCGTACATATGTATATTATAGGATGTTAACTGATTATTGACCGAGCGTGAGGTCGGTACTGTGAAACATCAGAGGCTTTTTATGAGGCTTTTTAGTGCTAAAACCTATATTTCCATCATTTCCGGATATTTGTGGGGTGATCAATTAAGAGTTAAATATGCCTGAACTGGAAAAACTATGGTGTGATAGCAGTAATCCTTTTAAGATAACATTCGCACAGCCTCCGGTATATTAGGAAATGTGTCGCACACGACCTATTGTTTAACTAAAATATTTCCAAATATATGGTAGCTTTTGAATTTTTTTTTAGCTTAATAAATTATTCATAAATAATTATTAATTATTTATTTCTTGATAAATATGTCAAATGTCAGGAATCTCGCTCTTTTATTTTAGCTAATAAGCGCTAAGAAGGGGTTGTCCGAATAGAAATCCATTTTTCAGTTTTTAACCGATTATATCTTTCTTTTCTCTTTGACTTTATGAAACTTGTTAAACTATAGAACTATAGCTCTGACATAAATTTGAAACGAGATAAATTACATTTCAAGTGATGTCAGGTTTCCTTAATCCAGAAATGGATTTCAAATTCACAACTTAGTCTAGTTCCAGGAGGATAGGATCACCTGGATAGGATCTCTCAGTTGCTTTTGTACATTCATTGTGCCACTCTTTTGAAATATGTGCAACAGAACGTTTTAATTAATGCTTGCAACATTAATAACCGTGTGATTGCAAGATTTTTGAAATGCATGAAAAATTAATGAGTCTAACTTCCAATCATTGCGCAGTATTTTAGGTCACATGTATACCTCTGTAGTTCTCCATAAAGGTGTTATAACTTAGTAATTCATAATTATATGAACTTTGATACAACATCTTAATTAGTATTAATAATTTTGTTACACATATGACCTAATTTGCATTAAGCCTAATTGCTGGCGCAGCGAGCCTGAAGCGCGAGCGACAAGTCAGCAAGTCTAATTTAGGAGTTGAGAAGCGCAACTATGCACTGTACTTTTGTGGTAACCATGCAGAATTCTTGGCGTGTTGGACCCAAGAAGCTTTGTTGAGGTGGCAGTGTCTCCATGGGAACTTTTCCAATTTTTTCATTTGTCTTATGGAAATTGTATAATAAATTGTGGAAGGTGCTTTATTTACTTCGTTGCTTTGTTCATAAGCCGCTCAGTTTTTAAAAGAAGCGAGCAAGGTAAGAACTATTTAACAAATGGGGAAGCTTTTTGAATGTCAGTTGAACATTTTTCTGCTAGTTTTAACTATAATTGCTAGAGATAATATCTTACTTACTTTCTTGTAGACATTTGGATTGCTATATAGAATCGCTAAGCAATCATTGTGATCAGTGAGGTAAGTTGTTCATATATATCTATATCTATACATTATGGCTATTTGATAGCCAAATTCCAGGCGGTAGACTGCGTAAGCTTGATTTTATGCTGAAAATGTTGAAATTTTATGCATTTCTTAGTTAATCGGTCGGATACAAATTGTTATGCGCGTTTATGATTTCTTGTCCCTGAGTTTAGTGTGGGTGTTGCGTGTCTTCTTTGAGTGCTTAGACATCGATAAAATTTCGATAAAACCAGATTTAGGGGCTGTTTACATGAGGCCAGTTACCCGAGATTCAACGAAGCGTGAGATGATTTTGAGGTATTGAAATGAGCCGATAACATGATCCTGGTCGTCGTATAATCACCGCAACAATAGCATGTACTTAATTTTGTTTGGTGCCATAAAGACTTATTTTAATACCTCAAAGTCCTCTCACGCTTAAGCACGGGTAACCGGGCATGTAAACAGCCCCTTAGTATAATATGCCATACATGCAAACATTTTATATGTAAATGAATAATGGAATACGTGTATGTAACAATATTTAGCTATTTCAGGTTGTAGTCTCTTAGACTTTAAGTTAGTGAAATTTTTATTGCTCGATTATTTATCCTATAATATAATTGTTCGTGTTTGTGGCTCGCGTTTGGACTTTAGTGTTTGTGTGGCACACTTCAACTGCTAAGATATAGAACTGTATTTAAACGAAATCTATAAGGCCTAGTTCATACGTCGCATTTTGGTCGAGTCGAATGCAATTCAAACAATAGATATGACATGATAATGAGGCTTAATATACAATTACTTAATGGTTTCCGTGTTTGGATGACCTGATCCTTTACACGGGCTTTAACCAATCAGAACCCGCGTTATATACATGTTATTTTATAATAAGTTTGACCATCGCATTATTTATTGTTTGAATTGCACTGGCCGCGATCAACATGCGACGTATTAACTAGGCCTAACATGTTTATGTTCTTTGATTGACACCATTCATGTAAGAACACAAAGCAAACCATTCTATTCTGGGTGATGGTAGTCCCTTAATCCCCGAGCCGGTGCGGAGCACCGTGCGAGGGTACTAATTCCGCCCGGAGATTAGGAATTACACCCGGGACCCGGGAGAACATAGCGGAATCCAAAGTTGCCCAAATGTCATGGACGTTCAATGGTCATGGTACTTGTGCGCATGCGCGAAATGCGAACGAGTGTAGACTGGTAATCAGCAACTTCCTGATTGGCTAAGACGAAACGTTTGTGTTTCAGTGAAAACGTCAGCAATTTAACTGTCATTTTGCAAACTATTTTTTAAAAAAATGTATCGAAAACAAAATATGAGATGTGGAATCAAATAACAGAAAAAAAACCATAGAAAGAGTTTAAAATATTATCAGAACTGGAGGGATTAGCGGTGAAAAGGAACAACTCAATTATAATTCTTGAAATGGTAGGAGTCTATTTTGTTTATTTCGAGGTTTATTTCGTGTTTGCTGTACGAATACATTTTATGACCTTGGTACAGTATGTCGTTTTGCTCGGTTTTGCGAAGACGTGACCGACTATTTAAGGCTTTACATCATCGTTTTAACTTCCAAAAAAGTTCTTAAAAGTGTAATTCAGTGTTTTAATATAACAAATATCACTTTAAAGGTTTATATAGTCGACTGCAATCACTGCATGAATTTAAGAATCGAAAAACAACATTCGACGTTCACTGCTTGGTTATTTATATTATTTGGGCTGTTTTGATGTTTTGAAGGTTTAGCTATAATGAAGTATTAACTCTCACTTAAACTGTGAAAGTCTATAACTTAATGCAACGGAAAGCAGCAGGAAAACGGGTGATTTCACTTCACCTTTACGACTGTGTTTGTTTCCGAAATATTTGAAACATCAGCTATCGGCTTTACATTTAGGGCATTTCATAATATTGAAGGTTAGGTCTGGCTAGCTCAGGAAATATTTTGCTTCGTTTGAAATGGCGAGGGGTTGCTGCATGCATGTATTTCTAGTTTAGAGTTTTAATATTTGCAGTAACTGGAGGACAAACGTACTTCAAACAGTTTAGGAGCAAGATTATATCTCACATGAAGGAAATTGAATCGTGTAAGAACACAAAGCAAACCATTCTATTCTGGGTGATGGTAATCCTTTATTTAGAGTTTTATCATTTGCAGTAACTGGAGGACAAACGTACTTCAAACAGTTTAAGAGCAAGATTATATCTCACATGAAGGAAATTGAATCGGGTTTACAACTAAATCTCAAGACGACTATTTTAGTAAATTCAGAAATGGCATTTGATATAAAGTTTGGACAACAGATATCGAAATACTAGCTGCCTCATCCTTATAATGGTCAATGGAAAGCTTTTCGCGTGTTTCCTCGTGGACAGAGCCATAGGCATAGCATGCCGTGGACTGACTTTCTCAACAATCCATCATGGACCTTTTAATTTTTTTTGCAATCTCAAATATATAGATCACGTTGCAAGTTGTGTGGTTCTACTGTATTAGATCAAATGTGGACCATGCTAATTTCATTACCTGCAAACAGCTGAATATCCTAGTCCAACATACTTTGTCTATACCTATACAGGGTGAGTAAAAAAAACTGTGAAATTTAAATTAGCTGCAATGTGTCTGTAATCGGCTGTAATGAGACGGAATTTGCCTAAAATATCTTATGGGTATACGAAGCATAATTATCAAACAAGTGAACCCATTATTTAAGTAGAACATAAAGTTTGTTCCCTTTGGGAGTTAAAATGCACTCTAAGCTCTGTAATAAAAAAGAACGTGGGATTGGTTAATTGTTTTAAACACTTTCGCATTAATTAACCACGTCTTGTTGATTGTACGCAATGGGAATTGTCAAATTCCAGCCATAAGTTCCCGACTAATTTGAATTTCAAAAGCGTCAGGTTTTTTTTACTCACCCTGTACAGGGTGCATGTCTCAAAAAAAACGCAACCATTGAATTGAAAATGGCTCCTAATCCTTTATTTCAAATGCTAAAAGTCATTTTAGCTGAACTATGGTGCAAACCCGAACAATATTAATATTCTTGCATATCAGTTAAGTTGTTGCGTTTTTTTTTGAAACACCCTGTATATAAAAGAGAATATTGACCAACACAATAGTTCAGAGCTCAGAGTCTGCGATTTTCCACAATTTTATACGGATCAAAGGCCAAATACTAAACAATATTAAATAACGGGAAAATATTGAGAGCAATTCATGCAATAATATCACATCTATACAACATGCTAAGGACGCCAGTCAAGCTATAGCAATTCCCGTCGAAATTCAAATGCGAATGAATTTGACCAGCAGGGTTTCGACGTATCGGTCTTAATACAATGCATAAAATTCAAAAGCTTATATTCTTTTATACTTTAAACATTCTAGCGTATCGAAACTATATCACGAGCTTTGCGAAGGTGAGTTCCAGCTTCAAGTCATACTTCAATCGTTATTTTGTTGACTGTACATGTATCATCCTATTCGATGCTCATTGAATCTGTACTAGTTCCGAATTTGCCTAAAAGAATATCCTAGTCCAGACCAATATTATGTGTAGTATTTACTTCCTCCTTCGTTAGCAATGCAAAATCATTACGACAGCTTCACCCAAACATATATGATCGTCTTAAATACAGGAACGTTTATCTATATAATATTATTATAATATAATAACTAGGATTGTTTGCGGAAACAGATTTTATATCCTGGAGAAGATTGCGAGAAAATATTAAGAATGATTTTAGATTATTTTGTTGAAATCATGCGACCTTTTGAGGGAAATATTTGCAATTATAACTTGTATACGATGGCTTGATTTATATATAACAATATATGCCTAAAGACTTATCATCTCATTAATTTGTTTGATAATCCGTTAAATGTTAGTTTGTCTGTAACTCTGTCCTTGTGTTATATGTGCAAAGGAGTTATTTAATTTTCACGTGCGAAATCTTAAAATCATCGTTCGTATTGTTGATGTCAAATGTGAAACTACCAGACGTTAAGTGCTGTAATTTACATGAAAATTAATATACGAAAGATTATCATTGATCGGGCGATCTTTGGTCTTTGCTAACAATAATACTCTACAGATCATACTATTCTTAATGAGCTTTAAATAATCTCGCCTATTTTCAACGTATGCATGGTCAATGTTTCTGCAAATATTATTTCTCCCGTTATATATAAGTAATGTACGCATGTATATTATTACTGTAAATTTTTTTACTTGTATATCAATGGGAAAAGTAAATAACCAAGATAGACGTCTCCGTTTTCAAGCCACGGAAGTAAGGCAGAGATCGGCAGAGGTAGGATGAAAAGTGTTGAATTCTAAAAACCCCCTGGTAGTTTACCAGAATGTTTACACAATTTAAACGGTTAGTTTCATGATTTATGAAGGTAAATACGGGTAAATACCACATTATTTTTGTCTGGCCGAAAGCTACATGGACTGACGGCGCGATGAAAATAATTATACAAAAAATGTATGCAATTTTCTGCAATTAGAAAGGCTAAACAGGACAAAAATAACTGAAATTTTAACCAGAGACGAGCACTGTTTACCCCCTTTAGGTTAATGAATTATGCACAACTGACTTAACCTGAATGTGCGGGGGTGTGATTTGTATAATTGCAAGCATGGAGTGCGTAATACAGGAAACTGAATACTCTACGCCCACTATAACGTGTCTTAAAGCCGGAACATATTTATTGTAGATTTTGAAAGATCATCGCAGATGAGAAGGTATAGGAAAAATCGTAACACAATGCATTATAATGTGGTCATATTTTGGGTCATCTTTTGCCCTTGTATTTCAAATAACCTGAAGCTATGATTTATTAGAATTACCGCTTATTCTATAAAATAAATGAGCCATCCTTTTATAAATTTGCAGCTACGATTTGTAGTGAGAGATGGCGGATATATCTCGATATCCGATGTTTTTGATCGCCCTTAATATCTTGCGAAGTATGAAAGATAAACAAATTTTGTAAAAAGGCTCTGCAAGAAGTATAAATCTCCTTTTCAACAAAACAGAAATAATTTTTTTGCTATATCCCTTTAATCCCCGTTTACGCTTGCCGGCGATTTTTGCTTCGATTTTATTTGCGATTTTCTTCTTTTCATGGATGTGAACAAGTAAATTAGTTGCTGTTGTTCAAGTGAGAGCTCTTATACATCAGAACATCCGTAACTAATTACTCGTTCACAGATGTCAAAAGAGGAAAATCGCACAATAATAAAATCGCAGCAAAAATCGCAAGTGTAAACGGGCCTTTAGTTTCAAAAATATTTAAATCTCTCGACTCTTAGTGACCCAAACGTCGGAGAAAAGTCCTTAAATTAAATTATACAGTATATGCAGAAATTATGACACACCGTCGCTTGATACCTGTACTAATAAATTTCCGTTTGTCTTATACAGACATGGGCAAAATTAGCCGAGTTTTTGTTCTACTTATCCTCGCAAGTTGGCAAATGCCTCATCTAAAAGGTAGTGTATACATTATATGATAAAGGTAAAAAAGTTTCCTCCATACTGGGTATACATAACCCGTAGTCCACATTTCAACAATTGTTCTGATGTGGAAATATTTAATCGTAAAAATTATGTTTATTTGATTGATCCATATCAATGCAGTCGGTCAATGCAGCTCTATTTTTATTTCTTGGTGATGTACAGAACATTGAGCATGATCGAGCATCATGTTAGCTAAAATTTCTTGATTATTCCGACATTTTTCATTGTCGAAATATATGTATTGCCATTGGTGCGGTTTGACCAGCACTTGGTGGCTTTTCTCATGCTCTTATTAAAAAAATCTTCGATATCCCGCTTCCCGCAAATTATAGGAAACGAAAGGCTTGATATGGGTTAAATACTTCCCTATGCCAAGAGTAAGAATAGTTTGTAAAAAAAAAATTTCATATGTAAATCAGCAAAAATATGTTATCTACTCGGATTTTGTCGGAAAATGAATTGGCAGTTCGTGAAACTGATTATTACAATTTTATGAAAGTTCCTAAAAAACTTGTAGAGCATATGCTTGAATTTATCCTATTTCCTTATCAATTTGGTTCCGGATAGAAACGTCAAAAAAGACGTGATTTGTTTCATATTTTATTGTGCAAGAAAACACTCTTTGACAATGTTTCCAAACAATGTTTCCCCTAAAATTCTTCTTTCTTCTAAATCATGCAAATAACCCATCCATATAGGTAACAGTGAAGCAGAAATTGAATATATCTTCTATTCAAACGCCACTCATATCTCGTATATTCCCGTTAATGGTGGAAAACCTAAAGCTTTTGTGTCTTCACCAAGCGCGAGCCTTGGTTACGACGTAATAAAATACCGTCTTTGGTATAGAGCAGATGTTAAACTGTACAACTCATATTTGGATTCAAGTGATTTAAAAACTGTTGCGGTTCCTTCAGTTTTTGGCCCATTTTCGGTTGATGCATTGAATCAAAGTATCTATTACCTAACGGATGATAATTTTAACCTTAAATGGATTGATTACAACGGAAATAACTTACAAAATGTTGCTGTGTCACCAAACAATGATTTCAGGGATTTGCGAGTCGACACTTATAACAGGTAGGGACAGGTTATGGTGCGACGCTGTTTAAAGGTATTCTGCTTTTGTGGTAACGCAGTTGTAGTACAATTAGACCTAAATCTAAAGAAATACGGCAAATCTGCATCTCAATATCACAAAAATAATGAATTTTCTGATGAACTATTTCTAACTGTGTACAAAAGCAGTGAGCATTTAAGCAGTGATCAGTAAGCACGTAAACTAGATGGATATAATATATCTGCCTAACATCCATTCACTTAAAGTCACTCTCCCAAATTTAGATCGATATTTTTCACCACTGATCTTACGAACAATCGAAATCTCATCCGGTACAGTCTTGCAGATGGAACTGATCAAACTCTTCACGATAGTATCACGGGAATAGGCACTCATCTCGTTCTTGATACCGTGAATAAAACCGTATATTGGGCTCTTTTTACATCCGATTCAAATTACAAGATATTGAAAACAACGTACGATGGTCAGACTTCACAGATTGGAACAGATCAATCAGGAGGCATCACAACTGTGGACATTGCAGATGGAAATGGGTATTATTATGTCCTCGATTCAACAACATCCCAAATTTTCAAATATGATAAATCGACAGATACAATGGCTGCTAAGATCTCGCTTTCGACAGAAGCAACACGAATCGTTATTGCGGCCGGTAAGTGACAAACGAGTCAGTCGCTTTTTCAAATTGTTTTTTAGCATCTCAGTTTATTTTGCAAAGTTGAAATGAATTTCTTATGAGAACAAGATTTTCTTTTAGCTTATCCATTTTGTGGCATGGTAGTTTATATCATCTTCATTGTATTATGTGATTGTATACAATCTCCTCGGATTACTTTCAGCGGTTGAAATATAAAGCATATTTTAGATATGAATTCCCATAGGTTGTATTTTGGAACATTACATAAAACTAGCCATCCACACAAAAATGAACATTTTGAAAACAAATTTAACACATGTGCCTCTCACTTCCACAGATGTCAATGAATGCCTGGATGACCCATGTGATCGAAAAGCAAACTGTACAAACATTGTGGGTTCGTACATTTGTGAATGTCGGAATGGTTACGAAGGAAACGGAATAAATTGTACAGGTAAGTCTTAGTTTCATCCGAAAAGCATTAACTGATTGGAATGGTCAAATTCTCGTGCATTTTCTGTTTTTTAAAAGTGGGAGGGGTGGTCAAATATTAATATATTCACGTTCAGCATTATTAGTTTCTTTTGTTTTTACGATCTTCTAACATGAATACATGAATATTTGCCCCCCCCCCCCACATAACGATACTCTGCGGTGTAGGGTCGCAGCTCCACGCAAAAATAAATTTCATTGGCTGACTTTACAATACATTTCTGTTTCAACCTATAGCATAACTTCGCTCTTTAGAAAGCATAAAAAAGTATTATCCAATTGGACGAAAGCTTCCGGGCACTGCGACATGTCCCTTCTGCGGCCCCTGATGGCAACAAACGAATGCAAAAAGCTGAACTTTTTAATGTTTTTTACCTGTTTAAGCCATGATTTTCTGTTAGTTATTTTAGGCACATACTGTTATTGATTGGTTTAATTTCCTCTAATGGTTTTGTTGATAGTCCATTTGTTAGTCGTAGCAGTCGATCGTTATACCCATAAGTTGTGTGATCCTATTTTAAGACGTTAATGAATGTACTGGCGAAAATTATTGTTCTTCAAATGCTGCCTGTGAGAATAATATCGGATCATATGAGTGTACTTGTAATGAGGGATATATGGGAAGTGGAACCGAATGTGGTTAGTATGATGTTTTGTATTGTGCATTATAATGCTTTGTTCTATTTAATTACAAGTCAGCAAAGAATAGAGCGTTTGGATCAACAGCGCTAGCTTCTCTAGGCATGATGGACATGTGAGCAGGCTTGACATGAACTTTGACCATGACGTCATATAGGGCATGTATTAACATTTAACACCAGCACATAATTAGTGAGATAGGAAAATAGAGCAAGCGAGACGGAAAATGTGTAAATGTATGTATGTATGTGAAGTATCTGTTTGAGAGACTACGACGAGCTAACCTGCGCCATTATTAAGTATATGCTTAGAGGACCTCGCCACAGAAGTAAGCTATTGAATTTAAATTGTTGTTTATGTAATATTATTAGGGGTAATTTAGATCACACGTGCGAACTTGATCGGAACTATATATGCATGTTTTTATTAATATTCTTTGTATTAATTTGTTCTTATTCTAGATCGAATTGTTTAATATAATTTATAATACGATTTGCGAGTTTTCCTTGGACATGTGCTTAATCTAAAATTGTGCTAACCGGTCGTCTTGGTTCCGACAAAACAGCGTTTATATAATATTACGAAGAAAATAACGAATCATTGACATGTATGACGTATAGGAACAAACTTTCAGTTGCAGGGTTATATTTACAAAATTGTTATGCGTTACAAAATTTCAATATATAGTTTGGCCGAATATGCCTACTCGCTACATTCCTCTTTTGGCAATCAAGTTTTAACATATTCTATACCACATGAAAAATCATTGGACATCTTGTTTCTCTTTCTGCAGACGACATTGATGAATGTACTGGACCATCACAGAGATGTACAGGTGCTGGTCAATCGTGTACCAATTTTCCAGGAGCCTATCGTTGCCACTGCATTAGTCCAAGACAACAAATTATCGATGGCGAATGTGTCGGTAGGTCTTCAATGATTTAATGTCGTTTATAACATCAGCCATTTGCTATATCATTATTCACCGGAGTTGAGTGGGTTGCACAAAATATTTCGCCTCTGTGTTCACCGCTACTGCAGATAAACCAACGCATATTGACGACATTGCCACAGACTTATGGGGATGTGTGAGCATTTATTTTCATTTCCTGAAGCATCCATCATGCAGTTCCAATAATGACATCTCAGAAAATAGGCAAATCTTTGACTATTGTGCGCTGTTATAACGATACTATAATCATATCTACTATGTAATTAGAATTGCCATTTGCCAACTATATACTACGTGCTACAATAAAAATCATCGCGTTGCAATTAAACGTGTAAATCTAAACTTATTTCGTATGAAACTAACCTTGTATTATTTTTAGATATTCAGGCTTCAATTGAAGGTCAATTTCGAATTATAAATCTCAAATACGATTCGTCCTACGATAATCAGCAAAGCAGGAAATACTATGATTTTACTCAAGAATTAATCATCCAGGTACGCAAGACGTTTACGTTTTGAATAAATAATGTGATAATGTTAGGCACGCACTATTACCTTGAAGCTACTGTACTACCTGAAGCGATTGTCCCATTATAAATATTGGGCCTAAAATTTTAAGACCTAATTTTAAGATACAGCTATAATATCATATGAATATAATATCGCAAAAGTGATTATTGAAATCACTTGCCTCTGATTGGTCGAGAGACCTCGGATTATTCCGCGATAATCACCTAAGCGGATTTTTTGAAATGGCGGCGAGTTGTCTTTGTCAAAGTGAAAGATGAAGGAATGCGTTATTTTGACAAAAATAATATACATATAAAAGATGTGAAATAATTAGGCATAAAATTATTTTCAAAGTAAAAACTACTATGTAGAACGCTTTTCAACTTTATTTTGCAAAAAATGTTTTACTTGAATCACTGTGAAACGATGGAGATATTTGTTGACGTTTGTAAAACATGTATTTTTTACAACAGATTTGATTTTTCAAAAAATCACCTTTGTAATTATACTAAAACAATTATATTCACATCTGGCTCGATGAATATTGCTGAATAATTGGCGAATAATTGTTAAATATATGCCATGTACGTGTTTCCTTAGGTTAGCTTTGATGCTTGATACTGTACTTGATATTAATTATTTAGCTGACAAATTTGTACACAAGGACAGAGAAGCTACGTTTTATCTTCCAGGAAATCATAATTTTACGATTATTGTAAGTGTTCATCTTTCTCAAACTTTTCTTTATTATTTTCCTTAAAGTCAACACGTATGGTGCATTTCCGGCGTTAGCGTTTGCGCGAATTATGTTAATCAGGTGTAGTTTTCCTAATGGTGTGTAAGAATGTCATTTACATCGTATAAAACAATGAAAACTGAATTAAAGAGTAAAATGTACGTTTCTAATTATCTGGATTTCACCAATTTTGAGTGCTGATCTTGAGCATAACCAATTAAGAGAAGAAGTCTAAATATTTCGAAGGATTGCATGCTAAATTTTATCAATTCTTATTAAGTTAAAAATGAAATAGGTTGAAAAGAGGTTTGTAAAAAACAATATATATGAATCGCATTGTCAAGTTGTTTTTTTTATTCACAAAGTCCGGGTTCCGTTGGCTTCGATTATCTGGCAACATTCAATGATACAAAAGGAATAAACAATGAAAATGTTCGGGAAGAGTTGGCCAGTTCTTTCAACGTTACAGGAAGTGGCACGTTTCTTGGGAAAAACCTTCAAATTAGCAAGAGCACAAATATTACTCAAGTGAAAAGCCTTTTCACTGTTAAAGGTAAAATGCGTGAATAGGTAAATATTAATGTTGTTCGTATTAAATCACCAATATTACAAATACACCGGTAATGACATCGCCATTTTCCCTAAATAATAGTAAAAAGTTTGAGAAAGTTTGACAAAGGTAAAACGCTTTTGTGGTATTGCACGAAAATTTAAATCAGAAAATTACTGTACAAAAAAAGCACTCCGGCATTGATCGTTGCATTTCTGAGGAAAATTTGGACATGTCTATAATTATAAAAATGCTATTAACTTTGAACGCCAATATCTCCGTGAATTTTTAGGTAAAATAAAATTGTAATAAACCAAAATCTAAGTTAACGTTCCTATTATATAATACAATATAATTAAGTTTATTTTAGTGCAACGCTGGTTACAAAGTTCTTATCAATCAAACAGGAGTACTGTTTTTAGGACACCAGGCAGGATACATTGATTTCTTTTTCTTTTACATGTCAGATTATGATGAATGCAATCCACAAAATAAAATCCATACGCCAGACTGTGGTTTCAATGCAACGTGCATAAACACAGACACAAGCTACGATTGTGTTTGCCATTCTGGGTTTGAAAAAAATCATACCGGTTGTATGGGTAGGTAGCTAACATTATAACATGTGATGACGTGACCTCAAAAGCAGCTAAGAAATTGTTAACCAAATTATCACATCATAAATACCAGACCAATGATCTGTACACTAAAGGTGTAATTCAAATTACGTTTAAGATATTGACGAATGTGATAGAAGAACTCACAATTGCCATAAAAATGCTATTTGCATTAATTATCATGGCTCTTTCAAGTGTTTTTGCAAGACAGGGTATCATGGAAATGGAACTAATTGCCAAGGTTTTTTTTTTCACACATACCACGATTTTAACGCAATGACTATATTAAAGTACTATTTAACCCGGTTGAGATTTGGACGGTAAAAGTAAAGCGAACCACCTTTTTAGATAAGAATGAATGTGTTCATGAGGATCACAATTGCCACGATAATGCAACGTGCATAAATAATGATGGCTCGTTTCACTGTATTTGTGATTCTGGATTCACAGGAAATGGAACTCACTGTAAAGGTTAGTGAATTATGATTCAAACAGTCCACTGCTTATCGGTACACTTCCATTTTGCCTTTTAAGAATGAAAGAATAATGGAGTGGTGCGCTGCCACCATGTTTATAAAATAATTAAGTTACACTAATTTTAAGATGTGGACGAGTGTTCTGAAAGCGAAAGTGTTTGCCATGGAAGCGCGACATGTACAAATATCATAGGATCTTTCCATTGTGCTTGTAATTTGGGATACCGTGGAAATGGATCTTATTGCGAGGGTATGTTAGAATCTATTCTCATTCGTGTATTATTGCACCAGCCATACCTTGACCATGCAGCTAACAACCCTAAGTCCCTAATCTTCTGATTTTCAAATTACTATTTGTCTTGTCACTATAAACACATGCATTATTATTGAACGAGCGTGGTTTTTGACGAGTGAGCCTTCGCTGGCGGTTCAATGTTTTAGATATTGACGAATGTGCAGAAGGGAATCACAATTGTCACAGCAATGCAACATGCACTGATAATGACGGCTCTTTTAACTGCATATGTAGTATCGGTTTCACTGGAAATGGAACTTATTGTAAAGGTCAGTTCACTGTTTTTGATGTAGGCTAAAAATTGAACTTTTAATTGCGGATTGCAGTATGTGTCATTGTCTAGCACACCTGGAATCAGGCGTCGACTACATGAATTGCGTTTTAGTACAGTTGATTTTAGAATTATTGCCATTCATTTTCATCACGAACTATTTAAATGAAACATGAAAGTACGTGCTTTAACCGAGCGTGCCTTTTGTGAACTGGCATATACCCGATTTTTTAAGTCAACGTGCCTGTGAACCTTTGTAAAAAATACAATACTGGGGAAAGACTCCATTGTTCAGCAATTAGCTACAACGTTTTATTTCCTACCACTTCGTAGAATGTATTTTGTCCTATCAGGTCTTGTAATAAATTACCAGGGTGAAAAGCCCATTTATTAGAATGGAAGTTAAGCTATTCTCAAAATAGATCTAGGTTATGTTGAGACCGTAGCTTATTATAGATATTTACAAATTAGGTATTTTCTTATTATTTCTAGACGTCGATGAGTGTTTGGAGTACAGTGGGTCTTGTCATTCTGCTGCCACATGTGGAAATATAATAGGTTCTTTTCAATGCACATGTAATTCTGGGTATACCGGCAACGGAAAGTTTTGTGAAGGTGGGCATGTATGTAGTATCTTACAGCTACTAACAATTGCCTTTGGACTAATAACTTAAAATTATATGTTCTGGTATTAGTTCCGAAATTAGAACAATAATTGGGGGGGATGTTGTTTATTACATTTATTCTGTTCTGCTCGACGGATTCATTTTGTAAGTGCAATATCTTAAAAAAGAGAAATCCGTGCGGCAGAACTGAATATGTGAATAAACAATTATCGTCGTAGTCTCGGCCCTGTCAGGTATGTTTATACACGAGTTTAAAAAAGAGACAATCTTAACTGAATATGGCATTGTTAACTAAACGTAGCACTAGCAGTGACTAAATGTAACTGCATGAAGGTTTGGCTTTGAATTATATTAACTGAATCCATAAGTTGCTATGAACACATCCAAACCAAAAACCAAGATGGCCGTCACTGACATAACATATCTGGAAAAAGTAGTTTCTTCAATACCATTTTATGTATTCTTCATTATAAAAATAAAGATTTATGAATTTATCATATTCTCAATGATTGGAACTAATTATCAAGTTTTATTTCTCTAGATATAAATGAGTGTTCTGATCCTCCAACCAAGTGTACCAATAAAGGTCAAACGTGTATCAATTATCCAGGAGCATACAAGTGTCGCTGCACAAGTCCGAAAGAACAGTTTGTTAATGACAAATGTGTTGGTATGTATGTACACTGTATAATAATATGTTTCCGGATAGCTATTCCGTGGTTTTATACCGAGGAAAACCATCGATCTTAACAGGAAAAAAACCTTTCGAAATATTTTTCTGGCCTCCTTATTTTTCGGTAATCAATGATTGTTATCTCACAATGATAATTTTTTACTCCGGCGTCAGCGACGGAGTTGAAAATTCGCCCCGGTTTTGTTTTGTTTTTGTTTTTTTTTTTTTTTTTTTTTTTTTATTATTTTTCGTCGTCGCAAGTCTGTAATGGCGCGAAATATACTAGTATTTAAAACAAGTATGTGACCGTATTTATCTACGTCCCAGTCTTATCTCCCAAGACTTGTGGTGCACAGCTTTGGCTAATTTTCCAATGCGCGATTCGATTTCGCTCGCATGATACGGCAATTCCTCCAAGAGGAACAAATAAACCGTTCTTTTCATGCTGTTCGATTACGTTTAGATTGAATTGGGGTAAGAATATATTTAATACATGTAGACCCGGTCCTATTTTAATAATATCGCTGCTATTTTGCCGTTTAACAAGATGATGTGGTCGTGTATGGGCGCGTTGACACGTCGCGTAGTTTGCACAGGATCGAAGATTTAATACAACTATATAAGCGCGAATTCCAAAGGCAAAGTGTAAGACGAAGCGAATGTATCATGCGGTTTATTTACATTTTTGAACAATTGAACTTCTATACTGCGATGTTCTTCTGAATTTCGCGATCGAACATTTAGGTTCGCAAGGCATCTAAATGCGAATATGTATGCGAAACAATACGCGAACTGTATTGTTTATGTTCAGAAGCTCTATATTGAAGACTGGCACGTGCGCCGGAGTTAACGCCAGAACGGCGTCTTGTTTAAATTTGAAAAATTGGGCATGTTTTTATTGAATTCTACCAAGAGTCGCGGTATTTCTGCTAATATCAGTGATAAGCCGGGCGATTGGCACTCATGGCTAGGGTATTTTTTGCCAATTCATTCTCTGTCCCATCGAAAATATTAGGGAAATTTAAAACGAGGACGTGAACGTCAAAAACTACGTTAAAATGGCGAATAAATGACGTCGTGGGACTATACATACGGACATGTCATTTTCACGTCGTCTTTGACGCTCATGCACGTCCTCGTGCTAAATTTCCCCACTATCTAAGCCCGAACATCTGCAGTCTCCTATACAGAAATTTCGTTTTTATGGAAGATGGTCAGGATGTAAGCATTGGGTCCATTGTTGTAGACAATGACCGGCGTGCTCGATTTTTGAAGTTTCGAAGTTATATAAAAAAAAACTTAGACGAATTACATGATTGTACACAAGTAACTGTCTTTACTGCATCCTTAAATATGCTACGTTTTTTATTTCTGAATCTTTACTAGACATCGCAGCGTCTATTCAAGGTCGAATGCGGATTATAAATCGTAATTTCATCCTGGCTTACAATGATTTGACAAGCTTGGAGTTCTTCGAATTTGAGAAAGAATTCATTGAGGAGGTACGAATTTATTTTCACATGAATACAGGTACCAACTAGAAATAAATGCATGCAAAATGTCCGGGCCTATGTAAAGCAATTAACATTGGTTTTTGTTCAAAAGTAGTGAAAGCATTCGTTCTCGTAACTATATTGTATAATCGCCTTCGAGTGGAATAAATAATATTCTCTACCTATATAGTACAACTAGCTCGAACGATCGAATTCAGCTATAAAAGTCCAGCCTACAAAATGTTTTAACACTTCAGCGAAAATTTGTTTACAAATGTTGTTTACGATGTTGTTTATACTGAGGAAAATTGGCGTACTGATTCACTAAAAAGCTCCTGAAGAGTTGATAAACCTTTCGTTCTAATAGAATTAAGTATCACCAAAAAACTTCGATTATATTTAATATTACAAAGAGAATAAAAACTGACAGGAAGAGGACGGAAAAGCCGTATAAAGGATTTCATTTTGTTTATTTTTGTTTTTTAAATTTCCCGCGAGCCATTGGCATTTAAAACACGCGTGCGACAGAGTTGCAAAAAGAGTTCAACCTTCCTCCGGTAGGATTTCAAGTTTTGAAAACTTTCCTCAAAATTACGTTACGACACTGAGTCAAATGGCAGCCAACATAACGAAATATTTGGTTTTTTGGTACATGCATGTGATCAATTAGAGTGTTCAACTTTGAACCTTCCTCACAAACTTCATTCAAAGCAAACCTTCCTCCGGATGTCACCCGCGTACCCGCAGCTTTTTTGCAACTCTGGCGTGCGACAAAGTTCCCGCAAAAAACACGTAGCACGTCCCGCGCGATCGCACTACTCTAGAAACCAGGACTTCCTATAATAAAAGTGTATCGAGCCACCTTAAATTTCCAATTTTCATGCTTTAAAATACAAATATTATACCCATTCGAATTTGTACCTTTTTTCCACCCATTTGAATCTTTTTTCTCTGCCAAAGCATCTTTTAAATCCCCTTTTAATCAGCTTTATACGAGTCAATTTTCTGCAGATTTTCAAGATGATCCAAGTTTGAAATATTCTAAAAAAGTGCTAAGTTATGCTGACGGGAAACAAAATTTTAGAATTAGCCAATCACAAATTCGAAACATTTGCTAGTTTCCAGATTCGACTCGCGTTGTATGCGCATAATTATAACGTACAAAACCCGCAAATTTTCAATGGAAGCACAAAATTATTCAAGGCATAAAATACAGGTTCAGTCACTCACAAGAAGAATGAGATACAATAAATTTTGGCTCATCCACCATTTAAGCTAAACGTCTTTCGAACAACCGGCCCCCGACCGTTGGGATAACGCTACTGTGACTATTTAACAAAAAATAATTTGCGTTCACTTACCATGTAACTCACAAAGTGAATATTAAATTTAGTTAACACGTGTTTTCATGAGGACGTCTACACTACGCTTTACATTCCAAGGAGCCTTCGTTACACGAATATTGTGAGTCCTAACATTTTCATAATTATTTACATTATTTTTATTTATTCATTTTATTCGACAACACGAGCACGTTGTGATTCCAGTTTTTCTGTCACTGGACTCTCTCAAGCCAGGTTCACCTGAAATTGTCGTGAATAAATTATCTTCATTTTTCACCAATGAGAAATAGTCAGGAGACTCAGGACGTAAATTTGTCTTTCTTTTTTTATTCAAATCGGTCATTGTTGGCTGCACACACAGAAGCAACCATAGAGATTATAAATAACATTAGAGTAGTCATCGAGGAGAAATTGGGGAGCGCGCTAATTGGGGGCAAATCCAAGTCCCGGATGTTCACTCATTCACGATGTCCGAGGCCAAAATAAGTCGTTTTTAACGAGTTTTTTTTATTTCTAAATGTTTTTGCCTAAAATATCGTTTCAGAATGTCTAAATTAGTAAAACCAGTTTCAAAAAGCACTGTTTTTCCTTAAAAAACCAGCAAAGCGGCCCAAAATAACGAATATAATTTTTTTAGAATTGTTGCTAACATGGTTGCTAAGGAGGCATTGATCTAGCCAATCAGCGCTTGGCTTAGCATCAGGGACTTGAATTTGCCCTCCATTATCGCGCTCCCTTTGTTGACTGATATTTCCGATACCAATGCCTCCTCTAGTGTTTTTTATAATCTCTATGGAATCAACCCTGACATGTTCACGACACTGGCGCGTTTCAAAGGAAACAAGGCATTACGCTTGAGAGTGCTTTCTACTCTTAGTACGCGGAAATTCAATTTAAGTTATTCACTTTAACCTCTGAACCTAAAGAAAGTAAAGAAAAGTTTGATACTTTTCTTTCATACCGTATTAAGATGCTGCATAAAGCATTAAAAAAATCTCGACGTTTTGATCTGTGGGAATTCGTCATCAAAGTTTGCCTATAGGCCTTCCAAATATTAGCATTTTAGTTTCCTGAAAGAAATTTCTCTTTTCAAAATACACGACTTCGACATTTCCAGCATTTAGTATCTGCCTGGATACTAAGGCCATACTATACCATACTTTAGTATCTGCCTCATAGCTACATTGGCGTATTCCTGTGTTTCAAAGTCATTATAGTTTTTTTTTTACCAGATTGTCTAGGGCCGACACGCTTCAGTTCAATGCAGTTTTGTATCATTTTCTGTTTGCATGAGCTCGGTTACCCGAGATTTAATGAGAAGTAAAATTATGACTTTGAAGAATAAAAATGAGCAAATAACATGATTCTGGTAGTCATCCTAATAGTAGCATGTGATTGAGATAAATTAAGATATGTTTATAGTTATTGAGTATCTGAAAATGATCTCACGCTTCGTTAAATTTCTGGTAACCGGGATCATGTGAACAGTTCCTTGGTTTTAGGGCCTGTCTACACTAGTGCGTTTTCGTTTGTATGCGGTTTCGCAAGACCGAAAACGCTTCGATCGATTCGCGTTCACACTACCGTTTTCGTAGCGTATTCGACTGTTCACACTAAAACGCTTGAATACGATGATCGGATCGTAGTCTGACGTTAAACGGTAATTTGCGCATGCTCGGCAGTACACACTTCCTTTATAATTTTTATCCCTAAATACCTAAATCTTCTAGTTGGTCTGCAAGACCGATTTTTTGCTCGATTGGACCTGGAGAGGCCCAGATAAAATGTATGTTCGTGAGACAGCTATTTGTCTTCGGTGTGAAGCCATCATGGCGTTATACAACGCAACATTTAACTACAAACAAAAAATTATGTTTGCTAGAAGCATGAGAAACTCCATATCGTGCTCGTCCGCCATGTTTGGTTAGAATTATGCCGCGGATAACTGACTTAAGAGTGGCAATCACTGGTGGCAATCGATGCGTGTGATGTAATCGTTTTCAAAAGTATCGTATTCAAGTGTTCACACTAATACGATATGTATGCGTTTTCATTTGTATTCACTTTCAACAGCGTATTCAAATCGATGCGTTTTCGGTGAATACGCTGAGCGTATTCGAGCGTATTAGTGTGAACGGAAGGCCTAAACGCATCGAAATGTATGCGTTTTCAAACGAAAACGCACTAGTGTAGACAGGGTCTTAATGTGAAGAAATAATGCAAAAATTGTAATTTAAAACTTAAGGAAAACATGTAGGAATGGAAATGGTAGTAGATATTTCTCAACCGTGCGTACGGATGGCTTCAATTACGGAATGCTTCCATTTTTTAGCCTTTGTTTAATTCTTTGTCTAATACATTGTCATTGCAGCAATGGATCTGTTGGTATAGACTACGTTGCCGGATTCAACAGCGCAACAGGACTGAGTAGTGAAAAATTACAACAGGAAATGTCGATGGCATTGAATATTTCAAACAGAGGCGCATTTCTTGGCAGTGACCTCAAGATTAGCGAGAAGACAACTCTCGCGCAATTGCAACCTCAAATAGCAGAGTTTTTTACGTTTAAAGGTTAGCTGCAATTCCAATCAGTAGCGTAGCCAGCCTGTCGATTTGTCCCGCTATTCTAATATTTTGGTATTCACTGACAGTGAAAACAATAGATTTCTAAAGACATGAATAATCATAAATAACTCGAAATTTACGCAACGGGACAAAATCGTCAGGCTGGCTACGCCACTGGTCTCTATTACATAGAGGGTATTCAACTGTGACTTAACTACCTTATATAAACAAGGGGGAATTTCCTTTTAGACCAATTAGCAAGTTTATCAATCAGTTAACCAATTTCAGTAAACCAAACCCATTGCACAAATCTTGATTACTTCCTGTACAAAGATACACTATTCGCCACATGAAGTATTTAAAATATAGCAATTCTGATTGGCTTTGCATGAAAAGTAAACAAATCGTGCCGATTGAGTTTAAAACAAAACTCCTTCTTGTTTCTTATACAGGGGTGATGAACTTTAAATCACCAGAAAATGAGCTTTAATACGTCAATAATTGTCTATGATATAGCATGAGAGCGATTTTTAGTACTTAAACTTGGGCAAAGAAAAGATATTGCTTTAACTGCAAAGTTATTGCTCCAAAAGCATCCATAAAAAATGCATGTATAATAAATTGTAGACCATTTATTGGGTATGAAATCAACTCAACAGCTTGCAGCATTTTATACACAATATTTTCTTTGTCCGTTCAGATTACGACGAGTGCTCTTTAGCAAATATCCATGTACCTGTTTGTGGGAACAACACAAGATGTATCAACACAAATACCAGTTATTACTGTGCCTGTGTTGAGGGATTTTTTCGCAAGAATGGCACTGATTGTTTATCATGTAAGTGTAAATCTTATACTTACACGGCCTTCTCTTCTGTCTGAAAATTGTGTTAATATTATAATGTGTTAAACAGCAGAATTCCAACTAAAAGGATGATAAATATATACATACATGCTTGGCTTGTTTAAATTTGCTTATTTTTACTGAATTTTGACAGAATAAGTAAAAATTAGCTAATTAATACATTTCAAAAGAATATTTGTATACAACTGCAAATATTTCGCTAGCGAACTATTCTTTGCATGTGGAGATCGGTAACATAATTTTTATATAGTGTTGTACATCAAGAATAATCACAAGCACGCATCATTTTGCACGCCATTATATGTATTTTCATCAAGCTGTTAGCATGCGTAATCATTGAACGTTGTAAACGAGCCATTTCTTTACATATTAACTTCTTTTCGTACAAGACTTTGATACTAGTTTCGTAAAATATTTGCAGCAATATAACTAACTAACCTTATTTCTTTTATTATAAGCGTTCAATACAGTAAAAAAAGATGACGTTAATGTCGTCAGGAATCTGATGATTGTGGTCCTTGTATGGATTTGTGTGTGCCTTACGACCGCTGTAATTCTTACTTTTATTGCTGGATATTGGTAAGGTCATGTAATTCAAACTTTTTTTTTCGTCTGCTTTCCTTCAAGACCGTATTTATGACTTCAACCAAAAGTCAGGGACGAAACTAGAACGATAATTGAGGGAAGGGGGATTAATTCATATAGTCAGACTGCCCGACAGATTTCTTTTGTAAATGAAATAGCTTACAAAAAAATCCGTCTGGCAGAACTAAATATATAAAAAAACACTCCCCAATTGTCGTTCTAGTTTCGGCCCTGCCAAAGGTGGTACACATTCTTTTCGATTGGAATATTTTCTTCCGTTGGCGTCGATGAACCTGTAAGCTTTTAAATTTGGCTTAACAATTGTGCGACGATGTACAAAAATTTGGCGTTTCAACTAAATACAAATTTTCTTCGTCAAGAGAGTCATATTTAAATTTAATTTTTCAATATATTTTTTTTTGCTAAGACATTAAGGCACTTAATTACAATGTGGCTATTCAATTTTTTTATTTTAAACCTTGAAAACTTTCAATAAAATAAATGAACCAAAAAATCATTATGGCAGCATTATGAATCTAAAGCCGATAATAATCGTGTAGTCTTTAGCATGAGGTGCACCAAAAAACATCAAATGCAATTTAAGACAGAATTGAACTCCACACCAGATACTGTCACTTCTCCAGTATACAGAACACGCCCTGTCATGGAAAACTATTATGAAGAAAACGAGTAACTATAAGAATTGGCAGTGGCGGATCTAGGGGTGTGCAGAATAAATTACTACAGCTTAAAATCGAAATCGCATTGGCAGATTTCAATGTAAAAATGTTGTTTACAAATCTATAACCAAGAGCGTTGTTATTAAGGTGTTTTGAATTTAAAACGAAGCTCTGTAATTTATTCTGCAAACCCCCAGATCCGCCACTGAGAATTGCCAACAGATTTTTATCCATCAGTCCAGTTCGGGAGGATGTCAGGCTGTATAATTATTTGCACAACGATCTTAACTTTAATAAAATAGTCGCGCTTATATTAGATAAGCGCTTGGTTAAACGTAATGAAGATCTCTGCCATCTTTGATTAATAATTAACAAGAATCATTCGTCGAGAATGAACCTGAATGAGCACGATTTAGCATTCGACTTTCTACATTAAGGCTGGATTTCCACTTTCCAAAAAATTGGTTCGCTAGCAAAATATTTGCATGTTTTCTTTTGAAATGTGGTCAGTCAAACCACAGTTAAAAAAATATACATGGTTTGGAGGGCACATAAAACCACAATAGAAATCATTAACTATGTTGAGGTAGATTTATGCAAAAAAATGTTCTTTTCTCATCACATGTCTATTGTACTTTGCACAGATAAACCAATAGCAATCTTTTAATTAACATATTATTCAAGTCATGGCTGAGGAGCTGAGCAGGCGAATGCAATTGGTAAATTTGGCTAAAATACAATAGACACGTGACGAGAAAGGAACCATTTTTTGCATTAACCTGAACAATAACATAGTTAATGAGTTGTATTGTACTTTTATTTAGTCTCCAAACCATGTACATTCTGTTAACTGTGGTCAAACTGAACTAATTTATTTTTGCTGTTGACTGGGAACTCTTTCTCTGCTAGTTGACTGAAATCACAGTTAATAGAATGTACATGGTTTGGAGACTAAATAAAAGTACAATACAACTCATTAAGTATGTTATTGTTCAGGTTAATGCAAAAAATGGTTCCTTTCTCGTCACGTGTCTATTGTATTTTAGCCAAATTTACCAATGGCATTCGTCTTGCTCAGCTCCTCAGCCATGACTTGAATAATATGTTAATTAAAAGATTGCTATTGGTTTATCTGTGCAAAGTACAATAGACATGTGATGAGAAAGGAACAATTTTTTGCATAAATCTACCTCAACATAGTTAATGAGTTCTATTGTGGTTTTATTTGCTCTCCAAACCATGTACATTCTATTAACTGTGCTGAAATCCACCCTAACTTCCAAACCTCGTTATGCCCTCAAAGTTTGTTTATTTTATAAATTTATTTAACAGTTTTCTGTATGTTTCCGAAATGAAGATATAGTAATAACGCGTTTAATTTTCTAACCGTGAAGTTATTGCCTTTTTCAAACACAATACAAAAATACAGTTGTCTATCTGTAGAGAAATTTATAGAAATTAGAAATTTATTGTTTGTAGCCAGCATAGAAATTAAACATTTAATTTGTAAACTAGATCACGAAGTTGAGAGTTGTACAAGCCATTTTATAATTTAAATACAGAAAAAATTCTCTGCAAAGCATATCCTAGCCAGGCCAAAATAATGGCAAATAATGTTACCATAGCCATTAAATTATTGCAAATCGATAAAAAAGCAACATATTGAGAGACGAGAGAATCACAAGCAGGGTAAAGGAATAAAGCCCGTCGCACACGAGAGCTATCAGGTGAGCTAACGAACTCGTGGGCATTCCGCAGTCCAGAGCTCTCAACTGCAACCAACCCGTCCCGCATGTTCTAAATCACACATATATTGAGAATTCTAAGTTTTAGAATATCGGATATATGTGACATGGGATGACCATCTGAGCCATCTAACGCGGTCGCTGTTTGCTGTACTGGGAACAGGTTATTGTTCTTGTTGTGTATTATAAATTCTAAATATAGAAGTTTGCCAAAATGGCGGATTTTTGCAAGCGATTAAGGCATGTAAAATTCGTGTTAATACGCAGTCAACAAAGGGAAAAGAACTACAAGACTTGTGCGTTTAAAGTCAAATAATTATTGCAAGATTTCTCATGAGTCAAGTTCGAGTAAACAGATCTCTTTCACAACGGAAATAGAAGAACATGTTCAAATATCGACGTTATAAATAGCAGCCATGAAGGTGATGACGAAGCTTTTTCTGGTCTTTCACGATACCGGGATTCGGGTCTCTTTCGCAAGCGCGCATTGAGGAAGAAGGTTTTTGTGACGAAAATATAATGTGCTTCGAGTAACAACTTCGCTGTTGTTAGTGATTAGTTGCACAATGGTATTGTCAATCAGAAGGAACTGATTATGAAGAAGTCTTTACTCCTGTTGCTCGTTACGATCCAATCAGATCATTGCTTGCAGTCGCGAATGTGTGTGAGTGGGAAATTCACCAGATGGGCGTGAAGACCGCTTTCCTACAAGGGGAATTGGAAGAAAACATCTATTTTAAGCAGCCAAATGGTTTCACTGATGAGGATTGGCCAGATTATGTATGCAAATAAAGAAAAGCATCATTGTTTTAAACAAGCTGCAAGATGCTGGCATAATTCCATCGATGGTTATCTACTCGCTAACGGTTATAAGAAGAGCGCTGCAGATCCGTGCGTCTATATCAAGTCTGTTTTATCCGAAAGTGGTAAAGTGGATTCGTAATTATTGCTATATACGTGGACGATTCGAATAATGTTTCCTTTCGAAAAATGTGGAAATGTTGAAGAGACAAAAAGCAGCAATCAATATTCGTGTTACATCAGACTTTTCGCGTTTGACGTCATTATAAAAAAGGTCTATACCTATCGTGGGCGACAGGCTTTAAGGCTGAAACATTCCTCAGCCAATCAGATTGCTTACTTAATTAATTAAACGTAAACATTGACTTACTTAAGGTGAATGACGTATACAAGATTTACTTTTCGTCGTTGAAAGTTCTGTTTTCGAAAACATATGTTTTAAGCACTTCTTTTAGAACATGGCACGTTTGTTCTTATTCCGATCGATTTCAAAAAATTAACAGCTGATAAATCGAATCGCCCCCGCGTACAGTTTTTGACCCAACCAGGAATTCTTTGAGTGCATGATTTGCATACGACTGTCTCATAGGTGGATGGCAATTCATTACAAAAGAATAAAAAATAAATGTATTTATTATTAAATAATAAAGGAAGTTAATGTTATACGGGTCTTCGTATCGTAGTGTCGCGGGTCCTAGGACGCTTGTCCGGTCGGCTACTTGCCCCCTCCGGTGAGTACAAATATGAGCCCAGTTTGCCTGATCGAGTTGTTAGTTGCTTGCGTGAATCGATGCCGTCACAACCTTGTCCAACAAAATCATTTCGCTATAATGGCTCAGGAAAATATGTCTCTTCAAGGAGTTGCTTTGAGTTTAACGCTAACTAGCTCACCAGTCGTGTCTGCTGTTACAACTTCAACAGTGGCATCGCAGTTGATCGCTACGGCTCCCCTTGCCGTTCGCTCGTCGCCATCTCGGCAATTTCAGCCAAGTTTACACCAGCATATTGCTTCACCATTATTCCCAACTCGTGTTCCATCGCCGGCTATTGCAAATCAACAAATCGTCAGTGTTGCTTCTACTTGGCCATCGAGTCATCCAAAATAGCAGCTAAATCCCGAAACTTTACACTTTAGCTTTGTAACCACGTCTGTTTGATCTATTTTTCGTTTGTGAACAATATAAATACAGCTAAAATACGGAAAATTTTAGCAGCGTTCAAGTGGTCAAAAGGTAATGAGCTTTCCCTGTGTGCGGAATATCCCGGTTCGATCCCTGGTATGGTCTTTTTTATTTTCACAATTTTTTGGAATTTTTTTAAACCTTTTTCAATATTGAAATAATAGAATTTACAATACCTTCTGGTTAGTTTTAGAGTTTACGGTGAGGGACAGGTTTATTTTTAATAAATATATTTGCCTACACGTTGAAAAGAGGAAGTAAACTTACTAGTATCCACGCCTCTCCGTGGCTAAATTCAAGATGGCGTCAACTGTAAAGTTTCGGGATTTAGCTGATAGTCTGTCCCTTCAGGTACGCCATATTTGTTTTCTTCGTCTACGTCCCCGGGCCCCGGGATGGGGTTTGTTTCGCCGGGTGTTTTTAGCCTCTGGTGGTATTGCCTCGCCCCCTCGCTTCTCTACGCTTACCGTATCGGCTTTTTCTCCCTTCGTGGTCGGGCCTGGTTTCCTCCGGTATCCCCAAAGCTTATGGCATCAATTTTCAACGGCAAGTTGGTCGAGTTGGCCTTCTCTTATCGAAGAAACTTCAGTTCATGACGCTCCTTCGTTTACCATCGGGGATAACGAATTAGTTTTGCGACCGTCAAAGCGCCCTAAGGAAATTACAGATATTATGACTTGGCTCCCAGCCTTTTCTGTTTATATCCTCGTGATGACGAATTTTTGGCCGTCTCGCTCCCCGGATTTGCTTCGCTACCAGCTACTTATTTTGCGTTCCGCTCAGAAGCATCTTGGCTCGGGGGATCGCGTACGATCGCGCTTTTCGTCGCCATGCAGCTGCTCTCCGCCTCACCGATTGGTTACAACTCCACCCGGAGCTGTATAATTTTCATATATTCGGCGCCGGGAGTTTTCTTCTACTCCTGCTTCGCGGGTATCTACTTCGTTTTCCTCGTCCTCCAGCTCCCTTGAAGCGTCCGGTACCCCGTCGTCGTCCATTATTTGTCACTCTTGGAACGCTGGTCGGTGCTCATCGCAATTCCTCCGGTGTCGGTTCCGTCATGCCTGTGATTTTCCGGGTTGTCCTGCAATCCATCGTCGTAGCGTGGCCCACCAGTCTACACGTTGTCCTCGTTCACCATCTCGCTCGCAACCCGCGAAGTAGCGTCTATCATCAGACACCTCGCGTCGTTAGTTAATACGTAGTGGTCGGTTCGTTTGTTCCCGTTGTTCCGGACGTTAACATTGTTCTGTGCGCTATTTTAGTTTTTTTTTGTAATTCGTGTTCGGTTATGAATTTGCTGATTAAAATAGTTATCTAGCTTCACTTGTGATTTA